GTATAATAGCACTGAAAGCAATAAAATACTTAGGAATAAATTTAACCAAGGAGGTGAGAAATCTGTACCCTCAAAACTGTAAAATAGTGATGAAAAAAATTTTAGACAGAAATAAATGGAGGGCGCCTGGGTGGCTCAGTTGGTTAAGCGACTGCCTTCGGCTCAGGTCATGATCCTGGAGTCCCGGGATCGAGTCCCGCATCGGGCTCCCTGCTCGGCAGGGAGTCTGCTTCTCCCTCTGACCCTCCCCCCTCTCATGTGCTCTCTCTCAAATAAATAAATAAAATCTTTAAAAAAAATAAATAAATAAATGGAAAGGTATCCCATGTTCACAGATTAGAAGAATATTAATAATGTCCATACCATCCCAAAGCCATCTATAGATTTTTTTTTAAGATTTTATTTATTTATTTGACAGAGAGAGACACAGCGAGAGAGGGAAAAGGGGAGTGGGAGAGGGAGAAGCAGGCTTCCTGCGGAGCAGGGAGCCCGATGCGGGGCTTGATCCCAGGACCCTGGGATCATGACCTGAGCCGAAGGCAGACGCTTAACAACTGAGCCACCCAGGCGCCCCAAAGCCATCTATAGATTAAATGCAATCCCTATCAAGATTCCAATGGAATTTTTCACAGAAACAGAAAAAAACAATCCTAAAATTTATATGGAACCTCAAAAGCCCCCAAATACCTGAAGCAATCCTGAGAAAGAACAATGTGGGAGACATCACACTTCTGATTTCAAGCTATATTATAAAGGTATAGTAATCAAAACAGTATAGTACTGGCATAAAAAAAAGACACCTAGACCAATGGAACAGATCTGAGAGCTCAGAAATAAACCCATGCAAGGGAGCCAAGAATACTCAATGGAGTAAAGACTGTCTCTTCAACTAATGGTGCTGGGAAGATTGTATATTCACACATAAAAGAATAAAACTAGATCCCTATCTTACACCATGTACCAAAGTTAACCTGAAAAGGATTAAAGATGCCCATGTAAGACCAGAAACCATCAAAATCCTAGAAGAAAACACAGGAGAAAAGCGCCTTTACATGGGTCATGGCAGTGATTTTTTTGGGTAGGACACCTAAAGCACGAATCACAAAAGCAAAAGTAAGTGGGGCTACATCAAACTAAAAAGCGTCTGCACAGCAAAAGGAACCATCAACAAAAGTAAAAGGCAACCTTCAGAATGGGAAAAATATGTGCTAACCATGTATCTGATTAAGAGTGAATATCCAAAATATATCAAGAACTCCTACAACTCAATAGTAAAAACTCAAAATAATCCAATGCAAAAATGGGTTAATACCTGAATAGACATTTTTGCAAAGAAGACATCCAAAGGACCAACAAGTATATGAGAAAATGCTCAGCATCACTCATCAGTAGGGAAATGCAAATCAAAACCACAGTGACTTATCACCTCACACCAATTAGATTGACTGCCATCAAAAAGACCAGAAATAACAAATGCTGAAGAGGACATGGATTAAAAGGAACACTTGTGCATTGTTGGTGGGATTGTAAATTGGTGTGGCCATGGTGGAAAACAGTATTGAGGTTCCTCAAAAAATTGAAACTGAAACCACCATATATATGATCCAGCAATTTCACTTTGGGGAATATATCCAAAGGAAACAAAAACACTATGTCAAAGTGCTGGGCGCCTGGGTGGCTCAGTTGGTTAAGCGACTGCCTTCGGCTCAGGTCATGATTCTGGAGTCCCGGGATCGAGTCCCTCAGCAGGGAGTCTGCTTCTCCCTCTGACCCTCCCTCCCATGCTCTCTGTCTCTCATTCTCTCTCTCGCAAATAAATAAAATCTTAAAAAAAAAAATTAAAAAAAAAAAAAGTGCTATCTGCATCCCGACATTCATAGCAGCATTATTTACAATGGTCAAGACATGGAAGCAACCTAAGTGTCTATCAGTGGATGAAAGGATAAAGTACAGTATGTGTAGACATTAGTCAACCATTAAAAAGGAGGAAATCCTGCCATTTGTGATAACATGGATGGACCTTGAGGGCATTATGCTAAGTGAAGCAAGTCAGAGAAAAACAAATACATGATCTCACATGTCGGGGAAAAAAAACAACAACAACCAACAACTCAGGGAAAAAGCAATCAGATTTGTGGTTACCAGGGTAAAGATAGGAGTGAAAGAGGGAAAATGAGATGCAGGTGGTCAAAAAGTACAAACTTCCACTTATAAGTAAGTACCAGGGATATAATATACAGCATCAAGACTATAGTTAACATTCCTGTGTGGTATATATGCAAGTTAAGAGAGTAGATAGCAAGAGTTCTCATCACAAGGAAAAATACGTATTTTTTATATGAGATGACAGATGTTAACTTACTGTGGTAATGTCACAATATACGTGAGTAAAATCATTACGCTATACACCTTAAACTGCGGTCAGTTACATCTCAATAAAACTGGAAAAAAAATTTTTTTTACATGTTGGGAAGATAAAAAAAAAAAACCCTGTAACAATCTGATATATAAAAAAGGTGTCTCACTTCAGTCCTTCTGTATTTGTTTACTAGTGATGCTGAACACTCTTTATGGGTCGTTTGTCAGTCTTCTGTGCACTGCCTTAACGAGTCATGTGCTCGTTTTGTTACAGAACAGTTTTACATTCTTTTTAATTTGTAGGCTCTGTTTATATACTAAGATCCATTATTAAATATTGCAAGAATTTCCCCCTGTGTTTCACTTGCCTTTTACCTTATCTCATGGTGGGTTTTTTTTTTCGGTGAGGGTACGTAAGTTTTACACTTTCATATAGCCAAACACCAATCTTTTCTTCTATGGTTTCTCTCTTTGCTTTTATGCTCCCACCCAAAGGTATCTCTAAAACACAAATCTGATCATACCCCTCCCTTAATGAAAATCTTCTAGGGGCTCTTGGGGCATAAAAGTCCCAGCTCCTCCTGGTGCTCCAGCCCCAGCCTACGGTCAAGCCCATAGGCACTCAGCTTATAGTCCCGCCAAGAATTGTACCCCGCTTGGAAAGTCACCCCTCCACCAGCTCCACAGGTTCCTTCCCACCTCAGCCCCCTCTTCCTGTACATCACCGAAGTCCCAGCTTGGATATGAGCATCTCCTGTATAATAGCACCTGGTCTACAGGGGGCTCTGTAGTGGTTTGTAAAGTGAGTAACTCAAATGACAAGAAAAGTCTAAAATGGCAAACAGGAGAAATGGCTCTCAGGGCCAGTTTAGGATCATGGGATTGGACTCCTGAGGGGCTGGGGGCGGAGGTTTTGTGACAAGCAAGGGAGAGAAATGAGGGCATAGAGCCCAGGCAGCAGGGGCAGGGTGCTCAGAGGTGGGTGGAATGGAATATGGGTACATGTTGGGGGGCTGAGCTGCGAGCAGAGAGAAGGGCAGATCAGCGGGCACCAGTGCTAGGCCAGGACGGGGATCCCCATAAAGCTGAAGGACAGTGCCAGGGAGGGGCTCAGTTCTGAAGGCACAGGGCAGTAGTCACTGGAGATCCCCAGCAGGAAAGTCTGTCTCACCACTGAAACCCCTTTTACCCACAGAGTCTCCCACACCAGCACATGACACTGCTGGCTTTCTAGTTTCATAGGCCAGAAACTGGTCACTTGTCTCCTCTTCCTCCCACGCCCCACATCCCATCTGTCAGCAGTTCCTGGGGGCTCTACCTTCAAAATTTAACCAGACCATGATACTGCATGATTCCATTTAGAAGACATCCTGGAAAAGGCAAAACTGGAGGGACAGAAAAAAGATCTGTTGCCAGAGGCTAGGGGAGGGGTTGACAAAGGATCTCGTGGGGACTGGGTGGCTAATGGAACTCTCCTAATACCCTGACCGTCGTGGCAGTCACACAGCTGCAGGCATTTATCAAAACTCACAGAACCGGAGACTAAAAAGGCTGAGTTTTACTTAAGTCCATTATACCTTACTAAAACTATGGGGAAAAACATCGACCAGGCTCCAACCATTTCTCACCTCATCTCATCCTCTCTGCGATGGGCGTGGTCCAGGGCGCCATCATTCTTCTTACTTGGATTTTCGCTACAGTGGGCTCTTCACCACTCCTGCGCCCCTGCTCTGGTTTCCCTGTGGTCTGGTCCCCACACTGCAGCCAGGGTGGTCCTTTTAAAACCAAAGTCAGAGTTCCTTAGTCTGGGACTCAGAACTTCAGAGGTAAAGGAACTCTCCAGAGGTTTCTCTTCTCACAGTAAAGGCTGAAGTTCTCACATGGCCACCAAGAGCCTACATGCCACAGTTTTCTGTCACTCCCCTGGTGACTTCCTCTTAACCCCCTCCCCCATACCCCTCCCCCGCAGGTGACTCCACTCCAGCCACCATGGATGGCCTCCTCGCTCCTCCTTGGACATGCACTGCATGCTCCCTTCTTGGGGTGCTCTGTCTGGAATGTGTTTGCCCCTGATTTCCATTCACATGGGCCCCTCCCTCATCTTTCAGGTCTTTGCTCAAATAGTATCTTCTTGAGGTCTTCCCTGAGCACCCTCATTACAATTGCTGCCCAGGCGCCCACCCACCTCACACCCCCATTTGCTGTAGTCTCGCATTTTATTTTTTCTCACAGATCATACTTCCGTCTGACATCCACATATTTTGTTCATTTTGTTTATTGTGTGATTCGTCCTCATGTCAAGGAGGACAGGGACTTCTGTTTTATTTCCTACTGCCCTTCTGTACCTTGGACATTACTATTTGCCTGGGAGAGAATAGACACTCAGTTGAATTCTGTAGCTGGAGTAAAGGCAGGCAAGAGTCCCAAGAACCAGCAGAGATGGTCATCGCTATGTCCACATCTCAGTGCCCCCGAATTTCACTCAGCTGCTCCCCACACATAGTCCTGGACATCAACTGTAGGACCAGTCTGTGGGGGCCGGTGTTGTGGGGTGGTGGCTCTCCTTCCTGCCTTCCCTTTTTGTTTCCCTGCCACCTCAGATGGCTAACTTAACAGATGCCTTCTCTCAAATTTCTCTCTAGAAGCAGATGTTCCAGGAGAGGAGTAGCCGGATGCTGCAGGCCTTGTCCCCGAAGCAGAGCCCTGTGAGCAGCCCCACCAGGAGCCGGTCCCCCTCCCGCTCCCCGTCGCCCACCTTCACGTGGCTCCCGAACAAAACCTCACCCCCCTCCTCGCCCAAAGCAGCCTCGGCCTCCATCAGCAGCATGAGTGAGGGAGATGAGGATGAGAAGTAAAGGCTGCCAGCAGACAGCAAGGGCCGCACCACACAGGCTTGGGCGAGGGTGGGGTCACCGCGTGTGCCCGGGTGGGGCTGGAAGGGTGACGGTCGCAGGAGCTGCAGCTCAGCCGAGGGAAGGCCTGGGGACCAGCTCTCCCTCAGTCTCCACTCAGCCTAAGACTTGGGCTCTGCATGGAGGTTTCCAGCCAGACAACCTTTACAAACCTTCTTAGCAGCATCTAGAATCACTCTACTTTAACCTTGCTAAGGAAAGATGCAGGGCACCCCCAGGAGATTTGCACTGAGTCGGGTGTCTTCTGCTTTGGTCCTTACACCCACCCCTACCAAGTCCGCCACCCATGGAAGCGGCTGTTCCCTAAATCTGCTACTTCCAGCTCATAAGGGCCCTGCACGTTGCCTCCTACCACCCAAGCTCTGCCAGAATAAAGTTGTTCCCGATAGAGGTGGCAAAGTGCTTCTGAAATAGTCAAGTGAAAGATCAATTCCAATCTTCTCAGTTTAGCCACTGAGACCTGATATTGCAAATTCTTTGCAGTTCTAGAAATGTGGTGCATAGACAAAGACATGCTTTAGGCCAGATATATAGAAGGTCATCTAGGATGAACCTTAACTTCTTATTTAGAGGACAGTTCTGTCAAAGAGAACACCACAGAAGGCCTAATATGTTCCTGGTTGTACTTTTCATCATTGGTTTGACTTCATGGTTTCCAGAAATTACCTTAATCTGTGGGAAATGCAACAAAGAAAAACATTTTATATGTGTGTATTTATATATGGTTATATATATATATATGTATGTATGTATGTATATATATAAAGAGGAGCTGCTTTGCTTTGGCTCTGAGTTTAGCAGATGGTAAATGTCGCCTGGAGCTTCTCCTTAAAAGATGTTAACTCTGGAATGGCTTTTCCCATTTCTGAGCAGTTAACAATTTCATAGACCTCAAGTACAGTTTGACGTACCAAACCACATAGCACGTATCTGTTCTCTGTATGCTCCAAGTATGCTATCCAGGGTGTATACCCTATGCAATATGAACATATGGTGGTAGCCTTTTACAGTATACGCTCCTGCTCTCACCCTAATCCCCCGCTGAAATCCTTGGTCTAAAGGACTACCTGGTTCCCTTGTGACTTGGGCACTTTGTCAAAAACTCATCCTGGATTCCTGTAGAAATGTCTTGTCCCAACCAGGAAACGAGTATGTTGTTCTCATGGCCTCCCATCGTGTTTTTTGGCTAGAGGGAGGCTCTGAAGAGTTTCCCAGAGCACTGTGGGAACCTCAGTTTGATCTCAGCATTGAAATGGTCTACGTGGTTGTATAGTTATCCCCAGCCCTAGGTTTGCCAAATGGGCCGAAGAGCCTCAGCACTGCTGTTGAGTTGTTTGACCTTACTGTCCGCTAACGACAGGGAGAATAGCCACAGGTAGAGTCAGGGCGGAGAACCACACTCCTAGGTAGATGAGGCATTGCCTGTCTGTGCCAGGAAAGCCAGAGGGAGAGCTGGAGCCTGACTGAGCAGAGGCCCAAACCAGCAATTTGTGGGCAGAGCTCAGCATCTCCTGTGACAGAAGCACCCCTTTTCAGAGGCCTTGGGAACCAGCCTTTCTGGGTGACACGTGGGGCAACCAATGAAGGAAGGTGGCACGTCTTTCCCCCTTGTGTCGGGGTTGAACTACCTCCCTGGCCACCTGGACATAAGTGGTGTTTACTGGGAAGCGAAACCACGAGGCTGAGCTGGCTTGGAACACCCTTGTTCCTGGCACGCTCTCTCCAGGGTTCTCTTGAGCATTCACGTGGGACAAAGAGCTGGCGGGAACGTGGCACGCGAGAAGGAAGCTTTCTGTAGCCAAGACCTAGAGCACTGCTCTGCAGAGGGAACCAGGTCCCAGTTTTGCATTATGCCCTTCTGCTCGTTCCAGCTGGTTGACACTTGGGGCAGTGCAAGGATAAGCACAGCCAGGCAGGGCGAGGTGGGGAGAACAAGGGCAGAAAAAAGGAGCAAAGAGGGGCCTGGAGAGAGGGAAGGCCATTATCGAAAATCTGTGCTCTCAACCCGTTGCTGGACCTCGCCGGGTAGGGGCAACTATTTTGGGAAGGCCTTTTATGTGCTTATTCCATGGCCCAAGGCAGACAGAGTCGCTCTTACTTGAATTGTGCTCTGAAGCAAATAACGTGGGGCTCTACCAGGCTGATTCTGTGCTTGCAGGCCTTCCACACCGTACTGACAGGTGTTCCTTGTGTGACTCAGACTCAGTGCCGTCACAGCTGCCAGTGATGGCACGTGACCAACACCTGGTTCATTCCAGGGACGGGCTGAAACCGCGCACAAACCGTTCTAAATCTCACCTTATGTCCCCACCCTGTCCTCTAACAATCCCTCCCCGCTGTCCTGAGGCTATGAGACTACTGAGAAGGAATGGGCGCAGGATTCTGCAAGCCAACCTGTAACACTCCTGGCCATCGGCGTCTTCCAGCTCCCCCTTTCCAGGAGGAGATGGGGGTGCCCTTCGTTTGGGTCAACCGGTTGACAGTCATGGCCACAAGTGAGTCAGGGCTGGAGTGAGAGATGTACAATCCTGTGCAGCCTTAAGAGGCAAGCAGAAGTGACAGGAAGCAAGGAAGTGTCCCTTCTGCCCTAGAAAGGGAAGGAAGCTTTCGACCGAGGACTGCAGAGCAGTACTGAGGGTTGCAGAAGGAGAGGAGGGGGCAGGTGAGGAAGACGGGTGGGCAGCAACGGGCTGGAGGGGAGGGTGTGGGGGAGCAGGGCCTTTCTGCTCCCTTTCAAAGTGTCACTCACCCCCTAACAGGTGAAGAAGGAAGGCTTCCTTTCAGAGACACCCAAGGTTAGTGAACGCCCACGCAGGGTGGGGGTGCCGCGCCCCCGAGCTCCCCGGGGCCACCACTTCTCCGTTCGCTGCCAGGTCCTCTACCCAGGGCCCTGAAGTCAAACGTTCACCCTTCCGCCAGCTACAAACACAGGGGAAACTCCAATAGCCTAGTCACACTGAAAGGCCCGTTGCTGGCAAGCCGCCCCCGTGTGCCAGGACCTTAGAAAAGGCAAGGAGACCAACCTCAAGAGGAGCCACCCTGCGCCCCAAGGCTGCCTTCTGACCTGCTCTGTGGGCTTGCAGGCTTGCTCCAGGCCTCGGGCTGTAGTCACTGTGAGTCCATCCCTTGAGGGAGGGATGGGAAGAGCGTGCATTTGTTTTCTCTTCATCTTCAGGACTTATTTTAGCACCCAGGCATACCCCAGAGAGAGAGAGAGACGGGATGGCCTCACAGACTCAGCTGAATCAGATGAGCCCGGTTGGAGCAGAGAGGTTCCTGTTCCTCAGGCATCCATTCAGCGCTAGTCTAGGCCACCAGGCTTTTTTTTTTTTTTTTTTTTTTTTAAGAATCAGCTCATAAGGCATTTGCAACTTCTACTTCTCTCTAGACTTTTTTTGTTTTGTCACTGCGATGTGTCCTGGGACAAAGCCATAAGAAGAGCATACATACTTAAAGACTCTGCTGTACATACAAGACGACGAAGACTCGTCTGGGTTCAAGTACGACCTTACTACGCCCAAGCATTTGCTCTGGTGCTGAATAACGCGAACTACGGGAATCAGCCCTCCACCCCGGCCCCTCGCCCCTCCCCACCCACTCCCGCCCCCCAAGAGAACACAGCATTCCCAACTTGTTTATAAATAAAGGGATGCATAATTGCACTTCGGCTTGTCGCGTTTCCTAAAAGTGTGCTACGGTGTTCCCGTTCATGAACTCCCGCTCGTGGAGGTGGCGGCGGTCCTGCCCGCGCCGTGTCGCGCGGGGCACCGTCCTGCAGGTGCCCAAGGGCCCACACCTGACGGCGAAGCTCGTGAGGAACAGACCCACCTGGAGGGGAGGTCACACGGGGGGGCCCAGTCGGGACCTGGAGTTGGAGGCTCTGGGACCTCGGCCAAACCGCTTCACTTCCGTGGCCGCAGGGTCTGCTTTTAAAGTCAATTGAGGGGGTTGATGGAAATGGCTGCCGAAGTCTTCTCTGGCAAGGTCTCTGAATTTATGACGCGACCCGCGTCGTCCCTACGCTTCTGCAGCGAGGAGGCTGCCACGACGCGACCACGAGAAGGGGCTTAGCTCTCCCTGGGCGCAAAGCTGGAGAGGGGGCCCGCGCGGCCCCTGGGACCTCCACTCCCGCCGGCTTGCGCGGCCGCGCCCCGCCTCAGCCTCCACGGGCGCGCGGCCTCCACCCACCTTCCTGATGAAGCCACCTGCCGGCTGCTTCGCACCTGTACCGGAACGGGGGGCGGGGCCCCTCCCGCCACTTGAACGGGGGGGGGGAGGGGGCGGGAAGCGCCTTTGACGAGAGGGAAGCCGATCGATGGGAGTGGAGGCGCTAAATCGCGATCCCAGATGCCCGCAGTGAGGGCCCAGGTTACCGTGCCGGGAAGTGCGAGCAGCCCTCCACCGGCTCAACCGGGGAGTTTCTATTAACTCCACCTGGCGAGCTTTAGCCGCGAAACGACAACAGTTCTAACATTAGCTCTAGAAGAAACAGCCACGCCGGTATCCAGCCAGGGAAGCCATTTAAAAACACAATACCTATTATTCATAGACCATATTACTTGGCTTTGCCACTCAGATCAAACACATTCTCGACAGATCGTAATTACGGTAACAGCTACAGGTTTCTTCTGGACTTCGTGATACCTCGGAAATGTTCTCAACGGAAAAATCCGTTCTAAGGCATAATAAAATTCATATTGAGGGCACGTACTGCATGGAGCACTGGGTGTTATACGAAAACAATGGATCGTGGATCACCACATCAAAAACCAATGATGTATTGTATGGTGACTAACATGACATAATAAAATTTACAAAAAAAATAATAAAATTCATATTGAAGAACTCTGATATTTGCCCTGAAGAGAATTAGCTTTTGTTAATAAACAGAACCTCTGGGATAAAAGAAGTACACTATCAACAATGTTTACACACAAACACACACACACGGTCCTCTGGTACTGGAGTCCTCATTGGATGTTGGAGTTGACTGTTTAAGCAACTTCTTCAGGTATTCCGCAGGAGCCCTTAGACAGAAAGACTCCCACCGAGATGCCATTCGGATAAAGCATGACAGTTCATCAGCCCCGAAATACATACCCAGTGATCGAATCCTTTAAGAAATCATCAAGTAAAAACCAATAAACCACCAGTAAAACCTGAAAATACCATTAAGAGCATAAATACCTGTCAGTACTAATTGATCTTTGTTAGGCCCAGCTGCACTGCCATAAACTTACATTCTAAAAAAAAAAAAACACCTTATTAGCTGAATCTCAGCAGCTGCTGACCGAATGTGGGAAACTTGAGGAGAAAGCCTTAGTGCAGGGTTGACTTGTCTCCTACAAGCAATTTTTGCTCTCCTTACCTTCATTCTCTCTCTTGGGGGGCAGGGAAAGGAATTGATGTGCCAGGTTACTGTACTTGTATTCACAAAAGCAGAGTTCTGATGGAGGGATTAGACATTACTAAAATATTTGATACGTAACCTTCCATTTTAAAAGAATTAATGAATCTATACCTGAAAGAGTTGGGATACTTTACCCCTTCCACAGGGACCTTTTCAGCTAATTATACTTGCAAATGAACTTGTCACTCGAAAATTTCCAAGTTCAAAGAAAAATCTGTCATCTTCTGCCATGCACATAGCTTGAGGAAGAAGCCAGTCTTTCTTGTCTGGTCGTCACGTTCCACTGGACGGACGTTGACAAGATGCCATTCACTAGTCTGCCCACACAACAGCATGAACACAACTGAGTCAGTGATTCTTTATTTTTTTCCATATCTGATACCCAGGAATTAACAATAATAGAAAGAAGTTGAAGAGGTATATATTAGTTTCCTACTTCTGTCACCAACTCAGTGGCTTAACACAACACAGGTTTATTATTTTTCAGCTGTGGAGGTCAGAAGTCCAAAATGGGTCTTACTGGGCTAAAATTAAGGTGTCGGCGGGGCTGGATGCTCTAGGGGAGAATGTTTTCTTGCATTTTCCAGCTTGTAGAAGCTGCCTGCATTCCTTGGCTCGTGGCTCCCTTCCATCTTCAAAGCCAGCAATGGCCAATGCAGTCTTTCTCACATAATACTACTCCAACATGCCTTCTGCCTTTCTCTTCTACTTATAAGGGCTCTTGTGTTTACATTTGCCCCACGAGGATAATGCAAGAAAATCTCTCTACCTTAAGTTCATCAGCAACTTTAATTCCTTCTTGCCATGTAATATAACATATTCCCAAATTCCGGGGATTACGATGCAGACATCTTTGGGGAGCCATTATGCTGTCTACCACAAGGTGACTGATAATCACCATAAACCCTTGAACCTTTTTCCAGTTCCTGAGTTGAGAAACAGTAACCCTCATGCAGACAGATTCATATTCCTCTTTTTAACATTCCTGTGTTTACTCATGATGAACCTGCTTAAAATGTTTCTCCCAAGTCTTGACGTCCACAAGAGAAGCACAGAAGAGGTATAATGTAAGATGTCTGACCCAAATGAACATGTTAATCGGCCCATGAGGAGAGACGTGTTGGGTCTTCAACTTACGAACACAGAGCCATGGCTGGTAGAGAAGGAAGTTTAAGAGTCCCCCTGCCCCATTCTCTGTACATATCCTCCAATTCATACTTGGCTATCTCAAGAAGACAAGAAGCAAAGGGCAGTTAACCAAAGCCTTTGATCATTGGTTATGTTCCTGCTGAAACAAGCCCAGGAATACAGTTTTTGACTATCAGGCAGAATCTGTTTCCTGCCTATTCTCCACCTGGTTTTGGTTTTTGGTTGTTCTGGTTCCTGGATGTTGACCACAGCCACCTGAAGCTAGAACTCCCTTCCAGCCATCCAGTATCAAAGTACGCCATGCTCCTTTCTAGAGCAACTTATTTTCCCATTGTGGCCTTTTATTAGCATTTTAACTTAAGGCCTATCATACATTCCTGTCTGGAGCATTCAATAAACATTTGAATGAGCTGCTAGGTCCTGGGGATGCAAAGATGAAAGAGGACACAATCCTGCCCTCACACCAATTTCAGCTCAGTAGCTAGACTGTCAACCCTGGCCTCTCCTGACTGGCCCTACCTTTGATTTTCCTGAGCTCTTGATGAACAGTCCAAGTTCTGATTCTGCCAAATAGAGTTTTACAATGATTTTACTGACAACTAATTTTGCATTATTTTACTCATCTCTTTGGGTGTGGGTGCTGTAACTTTCTCTGAGTGCAAGGACTGCTAACTCTTACTCAGAGTGGGGGAAAAGAAATAGATTTTTTTTTTAAGATTTATTTATTTATTTGACAGAGAGAGACACAGCAAGAGAGGGAACACAAGCAGGGGGAGCGGGAGAGGGAGAAGCAGGCTTCCCACTGAGCAGGGAGCCCCATGCGGGGCTCAATCCCAGGACCCTGGGACCATGACCCGAGCCAAAGGCAGATGCTTAACGACTGAGCCACCCAGGCACCCCGAAAATAAGTAGATTTTAAATAGATTTTCAGTTTATTAGAAACCACTCTTTGAGGATGCTGAATGGAGGAGGCTGATGATGTCCATCCCTTAGCTAGACCCATCAACAGTGAGGCTCTAGGTGAGCCACCAAAGTCCCAAGGCATCAGCACACACTTTCCTTCAAGGCCTTCACATGTGCAGAGCCTGGGCCAGAACTCTCCTATGTGGACAGAGCTGTTTGATGAATGACGTGGCCATCCAAGGTCTCACCCCAAATTCCTCGATTGCCCTGTGACTGACGGGCCTCTCTCACCTGGATAATGAGGCAGTATTTGCCCTCATAAACTTGCTATTTTGTTACCAGTTGAAGCCCTAGGAAGAGAGCAGTTTTCATATAGGAAGTTCTGTTCCAATTACAGTGCAAGGTGACAATAATTATCTCTAACTTTAGAAACAGTTACACTATATGAAACTGTTACTAAGGAACTGTGGAAGCTTCTGCATCCATCACTGTTATTAAAAATCATTACCATGTTTATTTTGTTTGAGGACTGGCAAATTCTGTTTGGACAAGACTGCCAGAGGACAGCAAGAGTATCATTAGCTTAGAGTTTCTTGTACAGTAAGAAACAGCAAGGCTGCTCAGTTGCCCCAAATTCAAATCAACAAGGCCTTTGATCTCTTCTAAGTATCTTCCAGTTACCTGTGAAACAGAACATCAATAAAGTTGCAAGGACCCCGGGACCCACTCTGTGCGAGGGAGACGGGATTTGCTGCTGCCAGCATTCTACTGTTCTCAAAGGCGGGTCTGTAGTTGGGACTTCAGTGGTTTTCAACCTGGCCACATGTTAGAGTCTCCTAGGAAGTATTTCCGAGAGACCATCGGATGGAATGGATCCGAAGTGGGGTCCAGGACTCGGAGGTTCCAATGAGACCAGGTTGAGACCCTCCGGGCTATACTTAATACTTCAACTCAGGTAACAAAGCGAGCCTTGGAGAGTAACTGGATTCAGAGGTTGATGATCAACGGCTTATATGACAAAGACGAGAACTGATCCGCCATACAGCTATGACAGGAAAAGGTCTAGGTATCATTTGCTTATTCAAAGAGAGACTATTAAGGTGATAAAAGTGTCAGAAACAGGCAGAGGGCAAAGGATTCATTTTAAGACCAACATTTAGAGGGCGCCTGGGTGGCTCAGTTGGTTAAGCGACTGCCTTCGGCTCAGGTCATGATCCTGGAGTCCCGGGATCGAGTCCCGCATCGGGCTCCCTGCTCGGCAGGGAGTCTGCTTCTCCCTCTGGCCTTCCTCCCTCTCATGCTCTCTGTCTCTCATTCTCTCTCTCAAATAAATAAATAAAATCTTTAAAAAAAAAAAAAAAAGACCAACATTTAGAAATGCCCAAGGTACTGTTAAGCATCCAGCCCTATCACTATTGAAAATGGGTGCCCGATGTTAACAAAAAAATTCAACAGCATGTAATGGCTATTTATAGCTGCACTGTCCAACATAGTAGCCACCAGCCACGTGTGGCTTTTTAAATTTGGATTAATACAGGGCACCTGGGTGGCTCAGTCGGTTAAGCGTCTGACTCTTGATTTCGGCTCAGGTCATGATCTCAGGGCCCTGAGATCCAGCCCTACGTTGGGCTCTGCGCTCAACACGGGAGTCGGCTGGAGATTCTTTCTCTCCCTCTCCCTCTGCCCCTCCCCCAGCCCGTGCATGCTCTCTCTAAATAAATAAAAATCTTTAAGAATATAAAAATAAATTTAGATGAATACAACTTCAATTGAAAATTCAGCTCCTCAGTTGAACCAACCACATTTTAAGTGTTCAGGCGGCCAGTGGCGACCATATTGGACAGCTCAGGTAAAGAACATTACCATCGCCACGTTCTCGTGGTGGACAGTGGTCTGCGGGAACCCTTCCCAGAGGCAACCCCTCCTACACGATGCCTTAGGATTTATTTGTGTTATCAAAGGGTACATTTATGTGTTAGTACGATGTGAACATCTGAAAATATCAGCAGATAATCATTTGCAAACATGCCTGAAGTCACTGGAAAACCTTGAAAAGACCGAGAAGGAAGTCAAAACGTACACAGAGGGGCAGTGCCCTGCAGCGGCTTCCCAGAACCACAGGCGTTTGAGTTGGAGGGTCTCTTGGTGAGCCTCAACCATACATCCCGTGTGATTTCCCAACCAGGCCGGAGTGGCTGCAACAAGAACACTATTCCCTAGTCGTGAAGGATTTGTTAGAACAGTGGCTGACTTTTGGTAAAACCAGACAGATACTTGAAAACTACGAACAAAAGCCAGGGTCACTTTCAAGAGCCACTGCTTCTGTATGCTTTGGGCAAAACAGATCGCAACATGAGAGCAGTTGATTAGTACCTGCTTCCTATTTTAGGTTTTAAAGAGTGCCATAAAACAGCCGACCTGGAAAGAACTTGGCAATCATGGAGTCCAACTCCCTAAGTTTATAGACAAGGAAACCAAGGCACAGTAGAATCAAGGCAGATGTGCTGATTTCCCCATTAGCAGCATGCCCCCCAAATCATTCAAACCCAAGTTTCTTGCATCGAATTTTCTAGGTCTGTTTTTTAGTGATAAATATACAAGAGAGCAGGTACGTGGCTCTCAAACTTTAAAAAGACCAGTCACCATTGAATGTTGTGTAAAAGAATGACACACTGGCAAATAACATGAAGACCACATCTCTGAGTTCTTCAGCAAGTCCAGACGCGCAGCCATGTGTCTTCGGAGGCCCTGGGTTCTGGCGTCGGTGCTACCCCAGTCCCTCAAAAGACACCATGGGATCGACAGCCCTTTAATTGCAAATTTCAAGTTGTTTATCTTCTGCGTATTCCATATGGCAACAGTCCCCAACTTACACTTTTTAAAGAATTCTCCCATGGCATTTGTTAAAATATAGATTCCAAAGCCCCCAACCCAGAGCATCGGAATGGAGTGGAGGGAGAGCCCAGGAATCTGCATTTAACCAGCACTTCGGGTCATTCTGGTGTAGGCGGTCCATGGCCAGTGAGGCCCAATTTGCCTAGCACAGCCCTGGTTTACACCTGTTTACATGCTTTACGGTATAATTATTAACAGTGCTCTTTTCACTGTCAAAATGGTCCTGGCGTGGACAATATATGGCACCCTCTCTCTGATCCATGGATCGTATTTTGAAAAATATCGTTAAAACTATTCACTGTCAAACAATTCCTTTATTTTGCCAATAGGATGTTCCCCACTACCGAGAATCCAAACAACCTATAACTCCAGTGGATCATAAGATCTTAAGTATCCTTGTCCGTTCCCAGCAACTTACAAAGGTGCTTGGTGCTGCTTACTTACTGAATTTCAGAAAATGAGAAGACGAGCCTCAGGCATGGTAGGGATCTGACTACAGACCAGGGCGCAGGAAAAGACCACGCTGACGCACAGTGAATCACAGCTACCGTTTTATTGTCCGATGGCGTTGGTACAGAATTGTCCACGTGCTCCAGGACTAGGGTGGCTATGACACGCACCGCAGATGGCTCTGCGACTCATGGGAACATTACCCGAGCCACGCACGTCTCTGGTTGTGGTTTTCCAACAATCACAACAACAGAACAACGTTTCTCCACAGAACATGAGGCTGCAAATTACCTCAAACCAAAGTCACCCCTCACTCATGACAGGGCGTACCAGCCAGGCCACAGAACAGCACAGAACACGAGGGGCTGGACTTCACTCTCTGAATCACAAGGCAGCTCGTGAACACTGGCCACATGCGTACACTTACCACCGTAACTAAGGTGACAGATGCACAAAGTGAACCAGGTCAGATCTGGACTTACAGGTACAAAAATTGTAATGAACTTTTATTTCATTTAATAGTCTTCTCCTGTCGTATGAGCTATGGTTCCCAGTGTAGACACTGCTTTTGTGCGTCAAAGAGTTATGACGAAACACTGGCTGAGCAAGTAATTTTACATTTAAATGCAGCATTAGGTATGTTCACGATGGTATATTTGACCCTGCAATGACTTCTCATATTTGGTTCAAGCGTTTCTTAAGTATTCACAACTTGGGTTCTAAATCTGGAAAATATTTAAGTTGCAAGCGCTTGTGAACTTTTGTGAGGATGAAAACTTAGAGCAACAGATGGTGCGGTGGGTACATATACCGGAAGCGGCCGTTACAACCTCAAATGACCTGACCACCAAGGAAGCCAGCAGGGATGAGCGTTAGCCAGAACGCTCAGTATGCTGCATTCTGCTAAAATGTGGGTCGTGTTGCCCGGAACGGGCTCAAGTGCAAGCCTGGTTTTGGATGCGAGGGCAGCACTGGGTTCTAGTGCAGGGCAGCGTAAGAGAGTGACCGCTCTAACAAGGAGCATCGTGGAAGCAGAGGAGGGGGCACTGGAACTCGACTCCTCCAACCCTGAAGTCAATTTCAATTTTTTAAATACTCAGCACTTTCTATTTTCTAGGTCGACCTTGCCTTGGCTGTCTACTCAGAGTCAAGATACATTTAGTTTGGTTTACTCTAAGGAATCATTTTAAGCATATGCACAATTACTTGGTCAGATTTACATGGTAGTACTAAGAGGAACTTTTAAAAGTGAAAGGCAAGATACCAAAGGACTTTAGGCGATGCTCTCCGCAGGAAGAGTTCTAGGGGCGGCTAGGTAAGAGGGAGCTGAGAATCGATCTTGGCCCACCCCTTCCATTTTCCATTTTACCCCGGCTACGCCAGCCAGCCAGGCCAACTCTGCCTCCTGACAGTGCTCGGCAAGCGAGGCGCTGGGGCCCGCGGTTCAGCCTTAGCCCTCTTCAGTGGCAAGCTGTCTCCAGAGCTTTCAGATCCCCACAGTCACAGGCTTTAGCTGTAATTATTGTAAAGCATTTGTTCTAATTAAACACATCGGAGAGTAACCTCAGCAGTTTTTGAGATAAAGGCATACGCCAGTTCTTCATATAAATAGAGTGCCTTTTAAAATACTCATTGAGGTTTCCCATGGTTTTAACAGTTCAAAGGACAAAAATAAAATGGAATTTAGAAGAAAGGGGGTACCAGGATGTATTACAAACAACAGTATGAAATCTTATACTCATCCTACCTGTTTTCGCAAACTCTTCTGGTGACACTACGTTACCATGGCTAAATGGTGAATGCCTTTGACTTCCAATCAGGTTGAACGTTCGTAATTGTCTTTTTAATGTCTGGCATATATGAAGAGCCAAAACAGAGTCAGAATTGAACGTTAGGATTCTTTTTCCTTTCTCTCCAAAAGAATCTCAAGGTAAGAATATCTTATAACATTAAGTAGTTCTGTCAGTAATATGCATTCCATTCTTAGCTTGCCATTTTTGACCAGATTGGAAGGCAAAGAGGAACTGAAGAGCTGGGAAAACAGCCCCAAGCGCCGGAGCTGGACATTTCTTAATACTTTGCTAACCGTGGGGCAACACACTGCTTACAGTATATATACTCTTTGACATTTGTTCTATTCTGGCCCATTCGGAAAAGTTATGTACAGAATTCACATTAGCAGGCCACTTTTAGGCTGGCAAAAGTTAGAAGAATTTAGTGGAATGTTCTTTTAAATAAAAGCTTATGATCCCCAAAGGATTCAATTCCAATAGTAAACAGAATCCAGTAGAAAACTGGAAAGCCAAGAAGCGAACTTAGCAAACAAAATCAAATTGCAGGATTTTTCTCTCTATGAACATCTCAGATAAGTATGAGGGACGCCTCTGTATACCTACTAAACAAAGGACATTTAGGCGTCACTTACTCTGAAAAGGCCTAAAGCACACAGAATCTGAGTGGTGATAAGGGTGAAGTTCAAGTTTCTTGGGTAATCTCGTGTTCCTGAGATGACAATACTTTTGAAACTCTATTTCTAGAAATTTAGACAAGAACTATGAAGTCAGAATACACTGTGATACAGTTTCAGAGATTTGCATGGGGATTCTTATCAAAGGCTATTCCCTGAGACATGCAAGCATAGTGAAAATGTAATTCTCAGAGTACAAAAAAATATAACATTTAAAATCATTTTGGTTTCTCTACTTCTCCCTTTAAAGAAATTATTAAAATAAAAATATTTATCTTAATAGTCTAAGCTCTTTATGTTTTACCTTTTTTAAAAAAATTTCATTTATTGAAAGGCCAGGCACAGCAGGACGCTTTCACAACCATTCTCTCTCCTCAGACTTCCCTTCAAAAGATCACTTCTTTAAAGGTACAGAAATAAAAATACAGTTCTTACAGCTGAAACAAACTTAGTGGAATACTGAAATCATTAACTGCATTTTAAAGAATGTGGTTCTAATTCTTCCCTTTTGGAAACTGTAACACGAAAAAGTTAAGCAAACTTAAAGGAAACCTAAAGTGATTAGAACTTCTAAAGAATGCAATTGCAATTCTGTACTTTTGAAAAATATGAAAAATTCAAAATACCTCTCCATGTAAATTAAAGCTCAAGCCATGGTATTTAAAATTAAAATGATTTACATAATCTACTATACTTTGTTTTTTTAGTAATTAACCTTCCTGAGGCTGATTTTGTTCTCCTTAGTGTTTGCTTAACTAAAGTGCTTAATAAAATTTTTACAGAATATATTACCCTCTCCATAGATGAGTATTATTTTGAACTACAATCTGACAAAAATCTAACTACATTTAATTATGCTTGATTAATCCAAATGTCACTGAGAGATTTATAGAACAGAGAAATATTTTGCAGGTTAAGTTCACTCTTTTCACTGTGAGCTTCCTGGACCCAGTATCACCACCAATCTACTCCGTAGTTCTCTAACATTTCCCAACACCCCACAAAAAATATGTCTAAGAGTCTAAACTGGGCCACGGGACCCCAGGCATCAAGCTCTGGTGCTCCCAACAGCTGAAGTCGCTTGCAGCCGGGAGGTGGGAGGCGGACTGCCCTGTAGAGGTGACAGCGCTGGAGGGAAGAGGGTGCAGAGCCAGGGAATCACCCCGCGGCACGGGGCTTCGGGCTTAAGAAGTGCTGTGAGGATACCCATGTGCATGATGGGGTGGGCTCTTGCTTACTGCAGAGGGCCACTGTGTCACGACACAAAGAGCAGCCCTTGTCCCGGCCACACGGACGCCACCCTGACCCCATCGCCAGGATCAGGGGCAATTCAGGTCCCTGCTGTAGAGCCTGACAAGAAGGCGGAAAAATAGGTTTCTCAAGGCATCTGTGACCACGATACTGCTGCCATTTTATTTTCTTCATTTTTAGGGGTGACCACAGCTAATGCCAACCCAAGGACTTGAGAGGGAAGCCTTCTCGGGCAACCCCTTCCTCCTCCTCGAAAACCAGTGTGGAAGTGGTACAGAGGGTCTCTCCTCTCGACAGGCTGCTATTTTAACTCCAGCAGCAGCATCCCCCTGTTGTAAGTGTATTTAAATAATGATTTCTGAGGTCCTAAAAAGACACGTGGAACCTGCTGTCATTACATTTTGGTTATGAGGAAACATCAGTGCACACCATTCAATGAACGTGGACAGTAAAAGCTGGCTCCTCTCACCTGATCAGGGTCCCCCCACTCCCGCCGGCCCGTGGGGAGAAGCAACAGGCTCCAGGGCTCCGGCTACCCCTAGAGACATGCTCGGCCCTCGGCAGGGTCCCCGGAAGAGCCGCATACAGAGCCAGGCACACAAGATGGACTCTCCCAATGCCCAGGAACACATGCACAAGTGAAAAGAACTCCGGAATCACGAACACTTCCTCATCTAAGGAACACATCTGTCCATGACGAAAACAACATTTACAGGGCTTGGGGCCCCCTAACTAGCCCCATACATTCCCTTCCTGGCTTTATTTTTCTCCACTGTACTGATCTGCTCCACTTTATTTTTCTCTCCACTGTACCGGAAACGTTCCTCGTTTTGTGTCTCTTGTCAGTTTCCCGTACAAGAACAGGGCGTGAGGCAGGGATTTCCGTTCGCTTGATCCCTGCCACGTGCCCAGCACTTCGCACAGTTGCTAGTGCACCACAGACACTCATTATTTAAATGGAGGAATGAACACAGCTTTCCTTTCCACGACTCCTCCGTCTACCACTTTCATTTCATTTGTCCCTGACACGTCGGCGCACATTCAGTTCTCCATTCCGCACCAGGACAGAAACAGGGCAAACACCCTGACTTTCGGGGAAGGCACTGAATGGTGCAGTTTGGTACCTAGAGCAAGGCTGTCACTCATGCTCCTTGATCATTAGGCTGGGCTCCGAAGGTGAGGAAAGTCTGCCTGGTGGAATATGCTGGCCACCGAGGAAAGGACACTTCAGCCCTAACAAACGGCCCAATAACCCCCCACCCTGTCGTCCACCTGTAAATGCACTCTGGAAACATTAACTCGTGTGCCTCTAGAGTAGGCCCCAGACCTACGCACCATCTCAGCATATTCATGAATAACAAAAATAATCCTGATGAGGACTGCACTCCTCTCTCTCAATGAACCAAATTTTAAAATGGACTGAAATGAAAAGACAGGAAAGAAAACCTGCATCACAATCAAGCTCTCACCAGGGTCAATGCCCTCAGTAAGACAGCTGGACTAGCAACCTGTTAATTGAAAATAGCTTCTACTTCTGTTAATAACTCTGATTATGTGCTAATTTGAAATACTCTATCATATTTAATTAACTAATTAATACTTGTCGGTGGTTGATAACTTCTTAAGTTCATTACAATGTCCTCTATTTTCAAACCAGAAGGTACTGCTACCTCTAATCAATGGAACAGGAACCTGAGTTAAAAGTTATCTTTCCACACAGAACAACAAACAAAAATCCTGTATTGATTAAGTTATTAATGGTTCTTTCCTGCTAGCGACATTGGTCTCTTCTGTTTACTTTCATACAGATTATGACCATGAAGGACATTATCTTCAAAGTCAATGTTTATGCACCTGGACCATGGGGAAAGATGGCAGAATAAATGCATGTTTATATAAGTGCTCCTGCCCTTCAACACACACATCCAAAAACTGAAAAAGAAGCTGTCCATTATGAAACTAATAAAAGCCACCACCCCATACCAAGGACTCCAGGGGGAGTGTCTGACAGATAGAACGAAGTGGGAGACTAATCAGAGGAGCATTCTCGCATTTGCCAAACAGACCACAGTTGCTGGGCAGTCTGGGAGAGGTTGTCAAAGGAGTGGACCCATCATTTGTTAACCTGGAGAAACAAGGACCGGCGGCAGTCCGGAGAAGCCCAGTGCAAGCTGTGCGGGTACATTTTCACAACCAAACCTGGGAGGGGAGGGTGAGAGCTCAGGAGAGAAACAGTGCCAGAAACACACAAACGCTGACCCCATGTACTGCCGCAGGGAGTGCAAGTACAAAGACTCCACATTCCTGCTATGGCGACACCTAGTGGAAGTGGGGAAGCTCAGGCGGATCCCTTTCCCCCAGTGAGACCCGGCCACCCCAGGGCAGAGGATCCCGCAGCACCTGCGGAAGGCACTCGGAAGACAAAATGTCCCAAGGAGCTTCGCTTCACTCCTCATTCCCCTATATCCGGCTAGCCGACTGAAACACAAAAACAACCTCCACCGTTACAAACCAGCAGTATCTAGCTTTACAGTTTAAGTGCTAAGGTGACCATTCAAACACTTTCCACTCGAGAAAAGAGGAGTCGAGGAGGATTTCTCCGCACTCTTCTTGGGCAGCTAGAACTGGTCCCATGCAAAGACAAATAATAAGCAGAAAAACCCATCATGATACTTGTGCAACAATAAAAGAGCAAAACAACCCAGAGAAAAGGAAGGAAAGAAGCCTAAGACAACTAAGTACGCTCTGGAAACAGAATGATTTCAGAAACCACAAAAATTGTAGACAACACAGTTCAGCCTTCCAAGAAATGAAACAAGAAGTCAGAGAGGACAACATAATGAAAGAAAAAAGCTGGCAGAGCTAAGAAAAGAAAGAGATCAAAAATAAAACTGTAACGGAAGTGAAACGCACACAGTGAGCATCTAGGCCTACTATCAACACTGAGTTAGTGACACAGGAGGATCAGACCTGAGGGAAAAAATTCACAGCATCAAGAAAGACAAGGGGATGAAAGTAATCAAAGGGAAGATAATGCGAAGGCCAGCTGACACAGAACCGACACAGGGACAAAGTACTGAAGAAGAGAACAAACTAAGAAGGCATGGAGTAAGGCCCGGATGTCAACGTGTAACGCTCATCATGGACCAGAAAAAGCCAACAGACAACTGTCAGTTCTGACACAGACTCGAACGAAGTCATGAATTTCAAGGATAAACAAGAAGCCTCAAGCACTCAGTCCAAATAAGCAGGTCATCTACAAAAGGTGAAGAACAATCCGTCTGGACTCAGGCCTCTCAGGACCACCAGACGCTAGAAGACAATAAAGTGATGCATCCACAGAATCGAGGGAAAAAGGATGTGATCCAAGAATCCGATAGGCAGCCAAGTTACTGTTCATCAGAAATGGCAACAGTGGCGTATTTGTAAATATGCAAGAAAATCCAACCAGAGCTGAAACCCAGGCCACCAAAGGCTAAAAGCAAGGACTGAATGTGGAGGCTTTGTACAAAAGGGTTGGCAGTGAACACGGAGTTAAATGAAACATAGAATTAAGTCTAAATAACTCTAGTAATTACCTACAGCTATACCCTCTAAGTTGCCTGTCTTTCTAGGTAAAAGCTGCCAAATCCATTCGATTATCTCCTCTAACTAACTATGCCAAAATGAAAACACACAAAAGAAAACCTCTCCTGAATGCAATTCTCTTGCACTATAGACACATTTTGGTTTATATCTTACCCTTGAGGGTTAATATACCTAAGAAATTCCTCAAAAGTGATGATGCTGGTTACCTGGTGCACCGCAGAGAGCACAGGCCCAGGAACAATACGACCCAACTCCTCACCAAAGGAGGAGGCAAACCAAAGAACTGCTTCCGAATGCATATGAAGAGCAGACGTCACACTTGCATGGTCCACCTCACAGCACTCTGAGGATCAAACGGGATGCTTTATGTGAAGAAGGTTCTTTGGAATCTATAAGCAAGGCTATAAAATCGTCTCACTTGATTGGATGGAAAGAACCCACTACATTAAAGAGCCAAAATCAGATACTCAGAGACAAAAAAAAAAAAAAAAGGAACAGACGGTTCCTGTGGATCCATCCCTACTTCTTTCCTTTCATTTCTCTACATTTCGAAGTCATTTCTCAACACTATAAACAGGAGATTCGGTATTTCCACAGCTCCTGACCTGAAATGTTTCTACTTTGGAAAGACAAATACTTTAAGAACGTAGAAAGATGTTGCCCCACCACCCAAGGTAAATGTCAATTTTCATTTCTTGATTCATCTAGTACTTATTAAGCCCCTACGATGTGCCAGGAACTATTCCAAACAGTAGATGTAGTCCCCCAATACTAAAAATCGAGTAAATGAGAGGGAAACACAGAGGAAAGGGGAGAACTAACTGAATTTAGCTGAAAAAGGGTCAATGTCTATTTATTTTACAACCTCTATGTAGCAATTTGACCACATGCTTTGACAACCTGAGCGAACAGCCAGAGGGATGCACGGGGTTCAGAGAAGCACGTACAGGCGACAAGCAGCAGAAACGAATGCGTGGGCCGCTAAGCTGTGAGAACCCAACATGTTCCCGCAACTCTTCTTATGGTTGCTCTGGGAGCAAAGTTCAACTCTTAATGCAGAAAGCAGACAGGAGAGCCAAGACTACTGGGGTCAGATGGAGAGGAGTGAGCCAGAAAGTCCATGAGTAGTAGGACTACCAATGAAGTCATTAAAACACTGTAAGAAACCTTTACTTTTGAAAAAGACCTGTAAAGGGAAGAATGGGATAGGATTTTCCCACCTGTTATTTTCCTTCTTCAACCCTTACATGCAGCTTGTGGGGAGGGCCTAACAATCTCCTCAACCACACGGTAGAACATTGCCAGAACAAGGCAGGAGGGGACCAGCCCTGAATTTGTGGCCTCCTTCCCACTACGGTATTTCATACTTGAAAGTATAAAGGTGTATGTTTAGAAATGGAGGCCTAGGCAGATAATGATATACTATCTAATGTTGGTAAGAAAGCCAGGGACTTCAAATGGAAAGGGTCATTATTTTCACATCTCTTACACAAGGATCCTATGGCACAGCCCCATCCCCAAGACACAGACTCCGTCCTCAAGCCTGCAGGCTTCCATATGGACCACCCCATCCCCCCTCTCTCAGAAGTCCATCTGTCTTTCTCTTCTCTGATGGAATCCTTCTAAGGATGGAAGAAGAGATGAGACCTTTCTAAAGATGAAGGGAATGACCACGAGCTCAGGTAACATAATGAAATGAAACAAAATCAGACTCAGAGGAACGAAGAGAGAGGGCTGCCACTGACCCACGTGCAGCTGGTCAGAGCACAGCTTATCCCAGGGAGGCCCCCACCCCCCCGCCCAGGGGCCCCAGCGGGGAAGCCCGCCGCCACCACCATGGCACTCAAGGAGGGGAATACTTTACAAAGGACTTTTCCACCAGTGCACTCAATACTTAACTATTGGATGGAAGCATTTATATGGGCGTCAAGAGAAGGCAGAGTAGATGATATGAAAAATTACAGTGAAGAGAACCACATCCTGTGGAGCAGTATAAATTGGGCCTTTAATTCAGGCTCTTGGAAGCCTTCCGTTGTTGAGGGGTCAACACAACCCCGCTTCTCTTTCCTCACCCCAAGGCCTCTGCCCAGTCTGGCTTTCAGCAAAAAAGTAAAGGAGTATGAAAATCAGATCAACGATTCTAAAACTGGCCAAAAAGTCACGAAAATGAAAATTATGAAAACCAAGGGAATTTTTCAAAATAAACTAGAAAGACCTTTTCCCTTCAATAGCCGATTTTACAACTAGTAAAGTGCATCACACAGGGACTTCCAATCCTCAGGAAACTACAAAGGAACAGAATATGATAAGTAGACTGGCAAAATTTCTACACAGCATAAAACGCCTCTTCCCACTTTTCACAAACTCGACAATGACCGAAAGATAGTTTTTCACTTAAGATCTTTGAAACCAAGGGGTTAAGTGAAAAATCCCAAGACAACTTTTGGAATGCTTTAATTGACAGAATGGAAGTACACAAATGAATTTTAAAATAAAATCAATGCATCAGAGAGTAAGAGCTAATGTGAAACTTGCCACACCTCACTCCGATCAGATGGAAGAAGGCAAAAGTTGAAATCACAGAGTGAGGAAGGACGCATATGAGAGAGGAAGGGCCCCGGGACTGAATTATTCAAGACACACTCTGCTGGTGTCTTCAACTTCCAGATCACCCAGGCCTTAGTCAGTGGTTTGGAAAACCATGGTGTTTGGTCACAAAGAGCAACCGCAGAAACTGGCTGTATCTGGAATGAGGAAGGAGCTTAGACTCCTGGGGAGAACGTAGACACTCGACTCTATGACGAGGAGGAGGGAGGTATGAGGGCACCAGAGCGCTAACGAGGCTCTGTGCCGTTTTACGACAGGCGCCAACCAAACCACAGCAACATACTAGGAAAAACTGCTCGGGTTACTACTTTAGTGAAGATCTGGAGCAGCTATAGGAAGGTTTTTGTGGAGAAGGTCCAGCTCATATAGAGAAATTACACATTCAAGCACTGGAGTAGTATGGTGCCTTGCTCAGAGTTGGTGGAGGAAAGGAATTCTCTCCGGTTGACTTGTGGAAGACAATCTTTCTTCTCAGAGAGGACATGAGCATTCAGTTCTCTAGAAAGTTCTATTAGTCTTGACCTTGTCCCTACAAAGAAAATAACAGGAATATCCATAGTGAGTTTGAGTACAACCTTCTCTATTTAACCAAGATGTACTCAGAGCATTTAGTTACAGTGATAATTCAAAAAGCTTTGAGTTATCTCAGAATTATTCTCTATGGTTACTACAGAAAGAGAATTACTGGGACACCTGGGTGGCTCGGTCGGTTGAGCATCTGCTTTCGGCTCAGGTCATGATCCCAGGGTCCTGGGATCGAGCCCTGAGTTGGGCTCCCTGCTCAGCGGGGAGCCTGCTTCTCCCTCTGCCTGTTCTGCCTGCCCCTTCCCCTGTTTGTGCACGTGGTCTCTCTCTCTGACAAATAAATAAATAAAATCTTTTAAAAAATTAAAAAAAAAAAAAGAATTACTATTTATTACTTACACATCCTTTTTAAAAAGATTTTACTTATTTGAGAGAGAGATATAGCAAGAGAGAACACGAGTAGGGGGGAGAAGCAGAGGGAGAGGGAGAATCGGGCTCCCAGCTAAGCAGGAAGCCCAACACGGGACTTGATCCCGGGACCCCAGGATCATGACCTGAGCTGAAGGCAGATACTTAACCGACTGAGCCACTCAGGCGTCCCTTTATACATACTTCAAAACAGTTCTTTACTCTCAGTTAAAAACCTGATTAGAAATGAGGAATGATGGGCACCTGGGTGGCTCAGTTGGTTAAGCGACTGCCTTAGGCTCAGGTCATGATCCCGGAGTCCCTGGATCGAGTCCCGCATCGGGCTCCCTGCTCGGCAGGGAGTCTGCTTCTCCCTCTGACCCTCCCCCCTCTCATGTGCTCTCTCTCATTCTCTCTCTCACAAATAAATAAATAAAATCTTTAAAAATAAAAAAAAAAGAAATGAGGAATGAGTGCTAATGGGTACAGGGTTTCTTTCAGAGATGGTACAAATGTTCTCAAATTAGACAGTAGTGAGGGTCGCACACTCTGTGAATACACTAAAACTGTACACTTTAAGGGGGTGAATTTCATGGGGTATGTGAATTATATCTCAAAAAAACTGTTATTAAAAATCTGAGTAGGTTGTGATGAGCACCAGGTGATATGTGGAAGTGCTGAATAACTATATTGTACAGTTGAAACTAATATTACACAGCACGTTAAATGAATGGAATTAAAATAAAAACTTATAAAGCCAAAAAAAAAGAAAAAGAAAAATCTGATTAGAAAATACATTTTTATAGCATTTCTCATTCACCTAGTGAATTTACCATAGCTACACTAAATACTTTCCGAAGATCACCACCAATTATCCTATTTGTATAATTTAACAGTTTTAATCATCAGGCTAACCATTTTCCGATTTTAAATATTGCTTTCTGTTAAAACTTGTTTACCTAATAATATATTAGAAATCAAGACTCATAATTAGTATACAACCTGCTAAACTATTTAGTTTTAAAATGGCATTTAAAACAAGATTCAATTAAAGCCATCTTTTTACAGTCCAAACGGACCATATTATTTATAAAGACTGCTTCTGTACTATCCAAATAACTCCCTCCAGCAGAGCAATAGCTTGCATTAATCGGTCACAGTGATGCCCAACATGTCACCTGACTGACACAGAGACTGAAAATGAAATCAAGGGAAATGGATCCAATTGTTTCAAGCTGATTTAGCTTAATCTTGGCCAGGGATGGTATGTGTATGTCTGTATGCACAGCCATGTGTACGTTTGCTCTCACGTGCACAAACCAAACTTCTCTACGGAGATGAATGACTGGTCCGGCAATACTGTACAGAGGTCCATCACAATGCTTCCATAGAGAAAAAATCAACAGAGATACCCTTTATATCATTCATCAGAAAAGACCAACACTACTATAATGGGGCAAAATCACAGAGCTATGTCAACTATATTTGCATACAAATACCTTTCTGTTGCATTATGTTAAGAATCAAGGTTTTCAGGATAAGAAGAAATATGCACAATTAAATTACATTTGGGTGAAATACTGCAATGTTAAAATCAAATTGAAAATATCAATATGAACTTATGATTTTAAAATATGTATTGTATAGTTCTGTCCAGAAAAGGGGGACTAGACAAGGTATAATATACACCCCCAACTTCCAGATAAGGGTCTCTAATACCCGTTAGAGGCAAATAGGACTCCTTGAGGGAAATGGCTGATTCTAGGATGGAGGTAGGGAAGGTATAAGATGAGACCGAGATACCATCTTGGGCCAGAAAAAGCTTTCAAAGATCAGTGGGGTTTTAGCAAAGGAGTCGCCGAGGATCTGACTCGAAATAGTTACGGAGGATCTGATTCGAAATAATTACCAATGGCCAAAGGTGTGCCAATTTAATCATCAAAAAGATAGCTGCTACATGCAATAACATAGATGAACCTCACAGAAATCTAGACACAAAAAGAGTACATACTACATGTTACTTTTAAGTTTAAGAAGTGATAGAGTCAGTTATAAGAATGGGTGACAGACTCAGAATAATGGCTACATGGTGGGGATGCTAAAGGGGGAAGAGTCTGATTAGAAAGGGGAGGCTTTCCAGGTGCTAGAAATATAGATGCAAAAATGTGTCAGGCTATAAACTTAAGACTTATGCACTTTATATACGTGTGTGTGTGTGTGTGTGTGTGTGTTAAGTTCTAATTGAAACATACTGAAGGAAAGTCTACACTATCCATAATAATCCTCGAAAAAGAGAAAGCCAGAAACTCATTTGTTACAGTTTAAGGTAGATTTTACCTCATCTTGTAACCCTGAAAATTGGTATTTAAAGGGAAAGATTTAAATTCTTATCCTGCCTTGTCAGGAGACACTGTACTTCAAAAGGTACCTAAATGGGGGTGCCTGGGTGGCTCAGTCGGGTAAGCATCTGACTCTTGATTTTGGCTCACGTGATGATCTCAGGGTCCTGGGGTTGAGCCCTATGTCGGGCTCCCCACTCAGCGCGGCGTCTGCTTGGGATTCTTTCTCTCCCTCTGCCCTTCCCCCACGCTCATGCGTGTGCACGCATGAGCTCTCTCTCTTTCTCAAAGAAGAAAAAATAATTGGAAACCGAAGATTGGATTGTTGCCCTTATTACCATAAAGTACTGAAACCTGTTGTTCTGTGATTAGTTTTATTTTTTCTGTTTTCATTTATTTATTGTGGTAAACTATACATAACATTTGCTATCCGGTAAGATGGTAAGAAATGGCTGTTTTTAAGTGCACAATTCAGTGGCGTTAAGTACATTCACAGTGTTGTGCAACCATCACCACCATCCACCTCCAGAACCTTGTCATCTTCCCAACGGAAACTCTATACCCATTAAACACTAACTCCTCATTCCCCGTGCCCTTGGCAACCATTCTACCTTCTGTCTCTATGAGTTTGACTTTGCTCGATACCTCACTTAAGTGGACTCAGAGAGTCCGTGTCCTTTTCTGTTGTATGGATAAACCACATCTCGTTTATCTTGACTGATAATTTTAACTTCTTTATTTTTTTCAGATTCAATCCATGCACAGACTTTCTCTAAACATTCTCCTGTCAATCTCTATAGGTGATGATAAATTGCAAGACTTACTTTTAAAATCAAATCTATGGCAGGATAAACCTTGCTTACTGTTGTTAATGCCTCCACAGTGTAAGGACCCCTAGAGCATCAGCACCTCTAGTGGAAGGGCTACTCTGGCTACCTGGTTCTTGCTGTCCTTCCTGTCCGGAGTGAAAAAGCTACTCCAACCTTTCTTTAGAGATCACTTTGCTCTTCCAGTGGGGGGAAAAAAAAACCCCACAAAGATTTGGCTAAAGGTATCATCTGGCTGGTACATTCTAGAGAAAAATCAGATACTTTATAATAGAAAGCAAAGTGGGAAATTACTGTTTCGCCTTGTATTTTGAGGCATCCCTAGGTTCTCTGCTGGGATTGCTCCAGTCATCAGCTTCGGGTGTGGTCTTGTAATGACGCCACGCAGACTTATTAAAAACCGGAAGTCTCTCAAATGATTCACTTGAAAGTGCCTAAGAGACAAACAAAAATATACACCAAAGAACCACAGTGTCATTTTTCTCACATGAAATACTAACCCAAATTTTACTATTTAAAACATTAGAAACCTTAATGCATATTTTTGGAATATTAAAATTAAATTTTCATAGTTAACTTAGACTGGCCAGGATGAAATTAAAGCTCTTTTAAAAGGAATAAAAACATTCACTCATTCAAAACCAGTACTAAAGTACATAAAGTAAGCAGAAGAAAAAGCATTTTAATTCAGTTAATACTGCTTTTGAGATACTCAATCATCTTGACTATCACTATCACTGGCCAACTGCTCTCCCAGAGGGCCCATACAGAAATAAAGTTGCGTATATACTGTTTATAAACATAAGCCCATAAGGTGATATTAAATATCACATCATTTTGATGCACTGGCATCTAAGATAAACACTCCAAGTAACTGGTTAAGTAATGGTATAACACGTGACATACAACACATAACACACTACACAGCTGTTAAAAAGAATGACCAGCTCTGTATGAATGGATATAGCGAGATCTCCAAGCTACACGGGAAAGCTAAAGAAAAATGCTGAAATAATCATTGTGTGGGAAAAAATTATCTCCCCCCATATGCTTATCAATACAGAATCAACTCCAGGAGGCTCCATGAGAACCTGGTACCATGGTAACCTCTGGGAAAGAGAAGCGGGTGCCTTAGAGACAGTGGTGGGAAAGACTTAAGTTTTCCCTTTTGTAGCTTCTCAATTTTGTACTATGTGCCTGTATTACCTATTTAAGAAATCCTCCAAATATTCCAGACTTTAGAAATAAATAAAAGTCTGATGCCACCAATGCATGAGAAAACCTGTGTTACAGGAGCTTTGTTATTAAATCAGCCTATTTATATCACCGTACTATGATTACTGAACTCTTGGAACTCTGGGAAAGCCAGCGAGTTTTAAAGTAAAAGACTCAAACACTTCAGTTTATGAAAATCTGTCTCCTTTTAGATTAGTCCTGTCAATGCTTATGCAATTTAAAAGAAATCACAAGTAAGAATCACGGCTTTAAAAATCAGCATTTTAGTTTTTACATCTCCATGTTTCGTATTTTGCTATATCTGAGCATAAAATCAAGGGCAGGACATACCCTGGTTTTCCCATAAAACTGAAGTAAATCTGAAATGGCATCTAAGAGATGATGTAGGGCTATTCTCCATTAGTTATTAGAACTTAAAGCTTTCAAAAGTAAAGATGTCTTCATATGACTAATAAAGTACAGTACCTTTAAATAAATGACAGCATCTGTACCAACTCCTTCCATGGAATAGAGTTTTAGATCTCCTTGGAAATATCTAGCATACAGACGAGAAATTGGCAAGCCATAACCAAATCCAGCCTATCGAGAAAAGAAAATTAATACAATGAGACATGCACAAATGCTAACATACTTGGTATGAGGACTATTCAGGAAAAGTAAAATTCTCTTTTAAAAATTTATTTATTTAGAGAGCGAGGGCAAGGGAGAGCACGAGCAGGAAAGGGAGAGAGAGAATCCTTCAGCAGACTCCCCTGAGTGGGGAGCCTGACGCAGGGCCGATCCCAGGACCCTGAGATCATGAGCCAAAATCAAGAGTTGGATGCCCAACTGCCAGAGCCACCCAGGCACCCCAATTAAAAGGAATTCTTAATTCAGGTTTAAAGCAAATAAATTATTGATCCACCCTTTACAATGATGTGTATACTCATTTAGGGCAAACAATCTATTTTCGCAAAAACACTTCTTTTATGTTTGGAAAATATTAGAAATACTCCAAATTTTGACTAATGCTTTTTTTTTTTTTTTTAGCATTTTAAAGTAAACTGTTGGCATTTTTAAAGCAAATTCCAAATCAAGTGGAATTTGAACTGGTAACAAAACTAAACCACATCATCCCAAAGTTCCATTATCAGATTTTCTTGCTCTCTGAAGTGAAAATTAAATTGAGTAGCACAAGAGTTCAAATCTACCAGTACCCAGGCTGCTACACTGAAAAGAACATTTCCTGAGAGTCTACTTCCTAAGGTTCTGGGAATGCTGAAATATTTTGATGTATGGTAGATCACATATGTTTAGAGACGAGAAAACAAGTCCAGTAACCCTCCTATATCTTCATGTCCTAGAACCCTGAATGTAACAGGTTGTTGAAAAAAGAAAAGGTCTCAGATATTGACAAGAACAGTAAGAACTTACTGAGATAATCTCAGTAAGTCTGGAGTGGAGGGGCAGATTCAGTGCCTCAAGCTTTGGCCCCTCTGATGGAATTCCCTGACAAGGTTAATGAGGAGGCAGTGGGGTAATGCGCTCGTGGAGCAGAGGCTGCGTGGGCTTTAGGCTCACAGAGACCTGAGTAGAAATCCACTCTGAGCAGTTTACTCAACCTCTCTCAGACTGTTTTGTCATCTGAAGATTTAATAAAAAGCTTCCCTCAAAGCTGCTCTGAGGATTAAATAATATAACAAGTGTCAAGTCTTGACACAGTGCCTAAGACCTAGTAAAAGTAAATAAACGGAAGCTGCTATTATGGCTACTACAGGGCAACAATTTTACCAGGTTACATAGATTTCTACCATTTGCAAACATCTTTCCTAGATTCCTTCCTCAGGGCAGGGCCTAACTCAAAGGGTTGGGTATGACCGGGCGCACTGTCATTCCAGGGCTTTAGTATTGGCACAATATGGCCGGTGGTGGAGACAAGACATCCATGCTGATGAATGCGGTCACCACAGCAAAGAAACCAGAATACTCTAGGAAGAGGCCAAGGAAATGCGCCTCTTATATTCCAGCAAGGCCCAGAGCCTGCCCTCAGGTCTACCAGGGAACAGTCGAGAACGCCTGAACCCAATACCATCGTGGGAGTGAGGATACAGGTAAGCTGTGAGAACACAGAAGAGGGGTCTCTAACTTGGATTGGGTGAGGTTCATCCAGGTTTTCCCAGGGTATCAAAGGATCTGACAGGAGTTGGGGATATATACAGTTGATAACTGGGACAGATGCTAGTGGAAGCCTTTCTTCAGAAGGAGAGGCCGTATGGGACATGGGAAAGAAAGCGGACACGACCAGTGCCGGCTGTGCCCTAGTGAGTGCAATGACCTTGGGCAAGGCGCTAACCTTATTTTCTCATCTATAAAATGGGAGGTTAGATACATAATATTTTAAGGTCTCTTACATCAATTGTTTCATTTTTTAAAAGAAGATGATAGAACAGCTGTCCGCAAATTGCTCTCTTGAGACCTGGAATAGAGGATCCACAGTCCTTCAAACAACTGGGGAAGGCTCCAGATTTGCTTTCTCTACATTTACTTAAGTAGGTACCAGAACCTGGTGAAGGCAATGCCTTTCAAAACTGATCTTTCAAGAATTTTCTTGACTCCTATAAAAATGACTTCTCCATTTTCAACATGTTGAGTTAACAAACTCTGTCTCGAATAAATGATGCAAAGTGTTGGATTTTATTCATACAAATAAAATATAATCTCACGTGCTTATCAGTCAGGTAGGACTTGAAAATGAAACTTAATTTGCACCCTCAACCATTTTGCAGACTGATAGATATGTTGCTGTGTTTAATGACAAAGGGTTCAATTGTTGTTTGTCAATTAGAAACACTCAGCAGGGGAACAAAGTGTGGCCCTAGCAGGATCTAAATGCTGCCATGGTAACCTGAGGCTTTTCTCACTGCCTAATAGAGCCCAGACAGAAAGGGCTCAGAAAATGCATACGCTACCTATATGTTCCCTCCTTATGCTGTTTACTATACAAAATTTAGTGTGTTCATAATCTAACATTCTAATTACATAAACAGATGTGGTGGGGCAAGTTCAAAGGCCCCGGGGTGATATGGGTCTCCACAGTACGCAGTGCCCAAGTGCCCAGGACCACGCGGCAGCCGTAAGCATTCTGCGGCAACTTTGCTCGCCAGCTATTAACCTTCTACCCCCTCCGAGGGTAGCACCAGGCGGGGAATGGTGCTTCCGCAGCAGTCGGAACCAAAGGGAAGTGCTTTTTCTCTACATTAGGAAGTGAGGTACTCAGCTCTGAGTGTTTCTTAGACAAAATTAGAAAATCTAAGTCCAAAGGATTCACAAAGAAAGTAGCAGTCCTCCAAATCATGCAGGAAACATTAGGGCAAGGAGCCAGGGAGAAAGACCGCTCTGCTGGAGGCCCTTCTTGTGTTAATGGTCTTTCCTTAAGCAGCACTTTAAGATGCTTACCAGAGGGGCGGCTCTTGTAGGCTCCAGGCTAGGTCTAGGAGCAGTTGAATACATGTAGTTAAAAAGACGGTCTATTTTTCGAAGTGGGACACCACCACCTAGGTCACTTATCTGTAATGTACAAAATGGTTTTTTTAAAAAGTCAATGTATACTTAGTACGAAGCAGGAAGTTCATTAAAGTACATACCAGGTAACTCTAAAATGTACAAGGGCTTTGAACCCCCAGGGAAATATGGTTCCACTGTGAACAACCTAAAACAAAGGAGGCAGGGAAGGGCACTAGAATCCGACAGACTTGGGCCGAGGTCTTGTTCAACTCCCTGAAAAATAGGGCTCTGATAAGTTTAAATGAGGTAACAAGCTAAAGATCTAACGTCGTTCATACAAATAAGACATTCAGGGTCCATTTTCTTCTCTTCCCTCAGATTCCTCAAGGTCTGGGTTACTATTAAATTAACTGATAAAGTATATGTGCAAATAAAGCCGTTACCTTAATGGACAAGTCTTCTTTACCCAGAGTAACAAGGGTTTTAACAGACGGGTAGGCTTCTTTTCTGTCTTCATATAGTTCAACTGTCGCTCTCATTGAGTTCTGAAATAATAAGACTTTTTTTGTAGCATACCATTGACTCACAAACCACAATTTAAAAAAAGAAACTAGCACAGGATTACTTATTACACAATAACGCTTTTGTGGAACAAATATTAGTTGGATTTATACACCATTTTTTTTTTCCTCTAAAGAACTTAGCTAAATGTGTGTTTGGATCACGGAAAAATTGCCCGATGCTTTATTTTGATTTCATCTAGTTTTATTTCCATCTATCACACTAAGTTTTTTTTTTTTCTTTCTTTTCTCTTTTTGTTTTTGCCTTAGGGTATTTCAGTTATTCAACCCTTAACCAAGAGGAATGTTTTTATCACATGTAACGAGGCTGCAGAGGCTCACTGATGCACTTTAAATCCTTATCAGTCTGCATTTACAGAGCACCTTTCCTCTAAAGAAGGCAGAAAACCTGAGAGTATTCATGCTTCCCACAGAAATTAATCATTTGGCTGGAAAAAAAAAAAAAAAAAACAACGCAGAAGCAATGTCAGTTAAAAAGAAATTCTGAAAAAGCCACAGCTGTTGAAGAGAAAGTTCACAATTGAATGCCCATCTCAACCTTAAAGTGTTACATCAGTGACATTATAATTTTGGGAAGCAAATCAGCATAACTGATTTTTCAGGTGTTCAATTTAGGGTTTTACACATCGGAAGAAATGAAATTGTAGCTTAAACACCTTGTGCCTATAATACTGCTCTTAGAAATGCCATGAGCTACTGATTAACAAAAGCAACAGCTAAGCTATAGAGAGTCTAAAGAGGTTTTGTTCTTTTTTTGGGGGGGTCCCTCTTTTTGGTCCAGCCCCTCACCATCTTTCCCCTCTGCTTCCATCAGAGCTTCTGAATGGACTCAAATACTTAAAGGGTTATGGGGTCTCTCGGTAGGAAAACAACTGTTGACGCACCAACGTGCTTAATGTTCACAAACATAAATATGCAAACACACGTATTTATTTTGATCTGGCTACCATCAATAAAGCCTTTGCCAGGTTTGGAAACTAAAAAGCATCTCTAATCTCATAACTGAAGAACAAACAGTATGGATTTTTACATAAAATCACCACAGTACAATTAAGCTTCAAAATCAATATGTACTAATATTCACGAAAACTATACCATACACAGCAATTTTTCATCTCATAATGTACAAATTATAAAACCCACAGGGTATCAGAAATAGAAGTTTTAAAATGGTTATGCAAAACCTTTTTCTTATGCTAATCTAATGAATCCATTATGCCCTGAATCAAAGTAATTTAAAATGAAGACTTCTTTCCGTGTTTTTAAATTCCACTTACCTTGAACAACTCAAATAGCATGTGAAACAGGTGTGAGGGCACATAAACTACCTGAATAGGTTTGTCTGGAGCTTTGGCTGAAAACAGACACAAAGACCATCAATGAATAAGGACCAAAACTATCAGAAAGTCAAGAATGTGGCTGGCATTCTATTTTCCAAGTACATAAAAAAGAACTCTACACGAAAGGCTAATTTAGGTTTCCATCTCTAAAGGCAGGGCTGAGCAAAAGCAAATGCTTGGAAGTCCAACAAACCCAGGGAGAAATCTGGCTCCTTCACTTACCAGCCATGTGACCTTGGGCAGGTTACTCAATCTCTCTGAACCTTGGCTGAGCAAAATTGGAATATTATCACGTATGTCGTAATATTCTGAGCATTATATAAGTCATCTAAATATCGCTCAGTGTTTTTCAAATTCGGGGACACCACCCCCAGTGGTGACCCCAGTGGTCATCATGGGGAATGTGAAGCCACAGAGGGAAAGGGGCGCATCTTTTTGGCAGACTAGACTAAGGAGCAATGTTAACTTCTGTCCAATTTCAACAAACAAGACATATTATAGAGTAGAATTTAAGGTTCACATAACTTTTCTACTAGTAGCTAGCAGACAACCCCCCCACCCCCACCCGCAATCATGCCCTCCAGAGACCCAAAGCCCTTTCTCCTTGCATCAGGGATCTCCGGGGGAAAATACGAGAAACACTGAATCCCATGTCAGGCACTAAGAACAGCGTGGGCTATAGAGTAGATGGTGGATAATTTGGTCCTTCCTCCTCATGACCCCAAATCACTTAAAAGACTGAAACTACATGAACATCCTCCAGTAGAACAGAGACATAGTCACCCATGTTATAATTTTCGACCTGACCTAACTACTTCCTTCAATAAAGTAAGTAACAGGGATATAAAGTAAACATTTGTTAGGCTCTTAGCAGTTGATGAAAAGCTTACATATGCATTATCCAAGTGAATCCTCATGACACTACAGTGTGGCTCACAGGGAAGGTGGGTTATAGGCGAGGACACGGGCTGTGCAAAGGTTATGTGACTTGCCTGCTTAAACAGAAGGCCCTGAAATGGGACAACTGAACCAAGAGTTTCTGACTCTGAATCCTGAACTCCTTGATGATTACTTTTGAAATTATTCAGTAAAATAAATAAAGAAATGAAATTTCTAAAAAAGTAAAAGTCCTTCTACCATTTCCCATCTCATCCCCCAGTCTGCACTCGGAGGTAGCCACTTGCTACTATTTCTGCTTTAGTCTTTTAGTATTTAGTCTTTTGGTTGATAGTATTTCCATTCTGGTCTGCAAGCCTAATGAACTCTTCTGTACTCTGTCTATAGGTTTGTTTTTTTTTTTCAAAAGCTGAAAATTGAGGGGCGCCTGGATGGCTCAGTCGGTTAAGCATCTGCCTTCGGCTCAGGTCCTGGGATGGAGCCCCGCATCAGGCTCTGCACTCAGTGGGGAGTCTGCTTATCCCTCCGCCCCTCCCCGCCCCCACTCATGCTCTCTCCCGTTCAAATAAAATCTTTTTTTAAAAAGGCTGAAAATTGACAGTGTTGGGAACATCATAACTAGGTAAATATGGATCACTGCAGAGCAGCCAGGACAGTGTAGTTGAACAATATTTCCTTCCCTGTGATTCCAATGACGTTTCATGAGTGACATGAAGAAGAATGTTCTCGACCTTAAGGTGAAATGGATTCTCTTAATCCTCCACCCAAATCTCAAAATCATGCTACCCTTTTTTTAGGTTACTGAATATCTGGACTGTGTCCTTCTTACAGTTTTGTTTCCTGGATCTTCTAACTACCCTTCCTCTTGGGTAACTGGACAAGAAACATGCTCTCCGCACTGTATCACTAAGATCTTCCAGCTTCTATTCTAGTGCATGGTATCCATTTCATTCTTTAAGATTTTTCAAATTAGAATTGCCTTCCAAACATGCTGCATAGCCATCATTTTCAAACTGTTTTTGAATGAAGTTCTAGTATGTTCTTCACTATTTCTTATGTCCATATTATATACACCATCAAGTCAGTCAAGTAGCCTACCTCAGAAAGGTGCCCTTGGGAAATACATTTCTCAATCCTTACACTTCTGACTCACTTGAAGGTTTGGCTTAGCACAAAATTCTGCATTCAAAATCATTTTCTCTCAGACTTTAGAAAGCGGGGGCAGGGGCTGGGGGAGAGATAGTCTCCTGGCCATTGCAGTGCAGCTGGTAAGTTTAATGCTAGTCAGGTTTTCCTCACGCTGCTGGGTGTTGCCCGAGGTCTGATAGACCTTGGTAGTAATATTCTTGTTGAAGAATGAGGAACTGGATGAATCATTTGAGGGAGCTGGTGTTCATTTCCTCCTGGGGCCCTCAACTAAAGGAGAAGGCTGACCTGGAGCCCTGCGTATCTGGTCAAGACTTCTCAAGTGACTTTAGGATGGGCAGACAGAAAGCTGGCTTCTGACCGGAGGGTGCCCCAAATTCTCAATGAAGAGGGCTTTACTTTGGGCTAACAATAGGTACGTGAACAGCCCCACTTTTTCCAAGGTTATTCTTGAAGAAAGTACTCTGATTTTAATTTCTGCCCCAGGAAAAATGCTTGTGACTGACTATAGGCAGAACACAGCCCAAGCCCACCGGTGCTCTGCCTTAGACCAGCTTTCAACTGACCCCCACCTTTTGGCTTCCCTTTCCAATGCTTTGCACCTACTGGCTCTTCTCCCAGGGTCCCCCCATCTTTGCTGCAGCCTCTCCTTTGTGGCTTCTTCTGCTCAGTCCATAATCAGCAGACTTCCATCGGTTTACCTTCCGGCAGGAGGTAGGATCAGTGGTCCACTGATGACTGCCCCTGGTTTCTTTGCTGTTTTTCTTTGTATTCCTTTATTGTCATTTTAATGGATCCCCAGGAACAAGTTGAACACTCAGGCTATCTTGTACCAAAAGGCATGATTAGTTATATAAACAGCCTTCTGAATTCAACCTTTCACTCCAAATCTTTTTCCAGATCTAATCTTTGATTTTTTCTTTTCACTTGAACCAACATTCTCTAGGAGTCATCTGTAGGCTTACTCAATTACTTGTACTTTTATTTTCTTTGGGAACATTACAGGTTAGATGTCTTTCCTTCCTTTTAAAACCAAGTCCAATGCTTTTGTCCATGACTCTTAACCTAATCCTGGGTCCAACGACTTTTATGTAGTGGACCCTTAATAGATGTTTATTAACTTTCTAAAATAGAGCACAAATGCAATATAAATTTTCCATCTAAGGGTACATTTTTAAAAGTAAATGGAAAAAAATGGCCCAGGTTTTTCATGCTCAAGACTCAAGAAATAATCAAGTCTATTTTACAGTCATTGCTTCAAAAACCATTAGCTGAAACAACATTTAATAAATACCAACAAAACTCCACATGGGATACAAAGAATTTTATTTGGAATCTTATAGGACAGTTCTCCTATAAGAATGAAAAAACTAGAGGCTAAGCAGAAAAGAAATGCATTTAAGAGAAAAGGTAGCTGGGCACTTCGAGATGATTAATCGAGTCCCAAAGTCAATGGATAAGGCTATTAGAAACAGTACACAATATGGTTCAAAGTTATACTGGGATTAATTCCTGATTCTGGCATTTAATAGACACACTAATAGGTATTTAAAACATCTGAGCCTCAGTGTTCCATATCTGAAATGGGCACAATACATATCTCATTGGGTTAATATAAGGATTAAATGGGATAATAGTGATAACCTAGTTTACAAAGAGCCCGCCACAACGTAAGTAGTCAATAAATGTTGGCTAGTATCATTACTAAAAGATTAACTTTATGGTGTTAACAGGACTACCAGCAATGGCTTTTCAACTGTTGTATAGAACCCGTTAACTGAAAATACCCACAAAAGTATCCAATATAGGGAAACTAGAAATCAAAGACCCCAGGATAGATACACACCTTTTCTGTGAACCCTCTTTCTTTTTTTAAAAAATATTTTATTTATTTATTTGACAGAGAGAGATAAAGCGAGAGAGGGAACACAAGCAGGGGGAGTGGGAGAGGGAGAAGCAGGCTTCCCGTGGAGCAGGGAGCCCGATGCGGGGCTTGACCCCAGGACCCTGAGACCATGACCTGAGCTGAAGGCAGACGCTTAAATGACTGAGCCACCCAGGCGCCCCTGACTTGAAGTTTTCATGTTGCACACCAAACCCAGAGGTATGAATGAACCTCTTGACAGGAAAGACTAATCTAGAAATGGTGAAGAAATGCAAGTAGTAACCATAAGGCTTATCATTCCCAAGTCAACCCTGACTTCCAGTAGCCACCCTTTTAAAAATACCCAGTTTGTGTCTGGTGCGGTATTTAAGGCCCTAGAAACAGTATCCTTTTATCACCACACGAGGTGATCTTACAGACAAGGAAGTTGCTCGTCGTGTTCCCTCCCACTGCCTGGCTGGCTATAAAGCTCACACCATTCCTCTGAGCCATGCTGCATCACCTTCACCACAAGGATCCAAAACAGGTAAAAAAAAAAAAAAAAAAAAAAAAAAAAAAAGAGGTATCTTTGCTTAATGTTTTGGCAAGTGATTTCTCAGGAGAATCAGAAAGCTAAAATGAGAACAAGTGTGACAAGATGGATGCTTATCTCTGGAGAAACCAACGTGGGTTGCCATCGGGGACGAGTCAGAAAAATCTGAAACCTGATAGAAGATAAACACCTGTTATTTCTAATGCTCCTGTTAAGTGCTATCAAATGGCTAATAAAGGAAGCTCATTTGAGCTGGCTCCCAATATCCAGAATTCTAGTGATGACTGGTAAACACTGACGGTGTTCATGTAGTATGCTCTCCATAGTCGTATTTCCTACTATCTCAGGGGTCTACAATGGCAAAGAAAAAAACTCCCAAAGATTCAGAACGCAAGATGATATGTCAAACTAATGGAACGATTCTCAGGAAGCACCACAGGTTCTCCCGGGCCAGCGGCAGCCTCACTGCTCTCAAGTGCAGAGCAGAGGGCAGTGTTACTCACGCCTGTTCAAGGCGCCCGTTGGGTAATGGAAGCAACGTGAAAGCAGCAGCTCTGCTAGTTCACGCGGGCTCTGAAAAGGAGTCCATGGGAATCTGGATCTAATGGATTTCCTTCCAGGGAAGCTGAGATAGGCGACACGCTGTGGGAAACACCCACTCTCTATAAAGTGACATCTGCTTAAGGTGTTCAGGACCAACCTCTGACCTGCATCTCTCCCACGGGACTTGTTAGAGCTGAACCACAGCCCTTAGCCATGTCCCCAAAGAGATCTGACATTCAGAAAATCGTAACGAGAAATCATAAACACATTGCCCAGAGCAACAGGAACCTAGAGACTGCCTATAACCAGCAGCATTCATTTATCTTAGTGATGGGAGAGGGGGCTCACGAAGCCTTGTCTTCTGGCTGTCAATAACAGCAGTGATTCCGCATTTCTTAAAAAAGTGCTCCCCGAGGGGCACCTGGGTGGCTCAGTGGTTAAGCGTCTGCTCTGGCCTTTACAGTGACTCAGGCTGCCATCCACGCAAAAGAGCAATTGGTTACTACCTGCGAATTTAAGTTCCGTGTTTGGCAAAGAAATGTGCACGGTGAGGTCAGGCCTCGCTTAGCCGGTATGAAGAAGAGAGAAGACTGAGACGCTTCTACTCAGGAACACTCAAGCGAAGTGCATTCACTTCTGGCAGTGTATGGATCCAAAATATGGGCACAACTCTTCTCAGAGAACCCAACAGATTTAGAAAGCAGCTCAGATTCCATACCTTCTAGTAGAATGTAGGGGCAACTGTCCTATAACAGTCTCACGTCTTTTCACATGTTGATCTCATTATAAGCAAAATACATTTTTGGCATCTTTTTGAGAGGGAATTTGGTTTATCTTTAATTGTAAATGCCCACACCATATGTAAGATTCAGTCATTCCACTTCTAGGGACCCAACCTACAGAAATGCTTCCACATGTTCACAATTCTCCCACCCTCCAGACACGGACACACCCTTCACTGTTCATTGTAAACAATATGGGAAAATTAGAAATCCTAAATGTCCGCTCAATGGTAAATGACTAAATAATGGCAATCTACACCGTGGATAATCTCTACATGACATTAATACATGCAAAGATCTTCAAGGCAAGGTCAAGAATACCAGTTATAGAACATGTATAGTTTCAACCCCATTTACGTAAAAAAACAAAGCTCTATATGGTCCTGAGAGAGTAAGGAGACTTTCACTTCTTTTTTTTTTTTTTTTTGGCAGATAAAGGTTGGTTTTATTGAATAACTGATCTGTGTTACTGCCGAGGCCACTATGCACAGACAAAAGAGAGGGAGTTTTATTTCTTCGTCTCTTCCTCCTTGAGTGTCTTGATGATTTCCTCCTTCTTGGCCTGGAGCTGCTCTTCACGGCGCTTGTGAGCCTCCTTGGTCTTAGATCTGCGGGCCTCAGCCTGGTCAGCCAGAAGCTTCTCGCGAGCCTTGTCGGCCTTCAGCTTGTGGATGTGTTCCATGAGAATCTGCTTGTTCTTGAACACGTTACCCTTCACTTTCAGGTACACGCTGTGATACACGTGGCTGTCAATCTTCTTAGATTCACGGTATCTTCTGAGCAGCCGGCGCAGAATTCTCATCTGGCTTACCTTCTCAGGCATTCAAGCATTGGCAGGACCTTTTCTCTTACCCCAGTGCCCATATGTCTGCCCCCCTGGTGGGCCCAAGTGTTTTTACGGCACCGAGCCCGGGAATGGACAGTCACAGGCTTCCGGATGGATCAGCCCATCTTTGATCAGTTTTCAGATCTGCTGACGGCAGTTGGCACTGGTGATTTCATTGGTCTCGCTGGGATCCAACCAGACCTTCTTTTTGCCACAGCGGAGGGCACTGGAGGCAAGCCTCTTCTGAAGCCTGAGCGTACTCATAGCTGCGGCCGCAGCGCCGAAAGTAAAGGCGACTTTCACTTCTTACTCTACATTCTGTATTGTTCGTATTTTTCCAACGAGCATGTCTCTCTTATAACTTACAAATAAATAAAGGTAACATGCAAATAAATACAGAATCATATGACTAAGATAACAATCAGCTATAACCCTGTAATCCAGAAAGCTGTTGTTTGTATTTTGGTGCTATCAATCTGCTTCAAGATATTTTCCACTGAACTTGCGCCACTACAAACTTTGATAGCCTGTGTTTAAAAAAACTCAACTTTTGCGGCACCTGGGTGGCTCAGTTGGTTAAGCGACTGCCTTCGGCTCAGGTCATGATCCTGGAGTCCTGGGATCGAGTCCCGCATCGGGCTCCCTGCTCGGCGGGGGGTCTGCTTCTCCCTCTGACCCTCCCCCTCTCATGCTCTCTCTATCTCATTCTCTCTCTCAAATAAATAAATAAAATCTTAAAAAAAAAAAAAAACTCAACTTTTTCCATACATTCAATATTCTTTTAAAGCATTATTTTGAATGGCTGCTTGTATTCTATCCTATGGACGTTCCACAATTTATTTAAATAATCTTCTATTGTGGAAAACATGGGTTGTTTTCTAATTTTTCTGTTTAAGAAAACCACTGTGATTGTTATTCTTGTACATACATCTGTGTACACTTTTATTTTCTCATAATAAATTTTCTGAAGTTTAATTTACCAGACCAAAGAATATGACCATTACTGAATTTTAATTTACTGGGCCAAGAGAAAGGACATTGCTAGCATTTTTTGAGAAAGGCTGTACTAATTTAAACTTATACCAGAAATGTGTAAGTGTTGTCGAGAGAGTATTTTTCTAGGCACCAATTCAAAGCATGACAACATTATAATCACGGCCATTTTTAAAGTCAAAACTGGCATTTCTCCATTTTTGTTTGTACTTCTCTGATTAATTAAACACGCTTTCATATGTTTACTGCTGCTTGGCATTTGTTGTTTTGAGAACTGCCTATTCATATGCTTGTGCACTTTCTACCTGGATGACTTCTGTTCCAAGAACTCTGAGTGCAAATTTTGTACATACTCCTGTACAAAAACTCCTTACAACAATATACCTAGGTGACCAAAGAGATAGAAAGGCTTTAAAAAGAAATGAAAGATGAAAAAGCAGCATGATTTGAGGCTCTCACTGAAATATAGCTCAGGTATCATCAGATTTTTAGTCAACTTATTTGTATGTAACGTTAAACTGATTTTTCTCTTACCATTGAATTCTTCGACTTCCAGCTCTGGAGCTACCAGGTAATACTGTTCACACAGCATCTTGGCGGTTTCATAGGCATCTGCAAAGAAAGAAAACAGTTTAGCTTTAGACATAAGCAGACAGACAGACAAATAAAATAAACAAAACCAGGACAGTTACTAACCTGAGGGATTCACAATTAATTACTGCTTTTTAAAAACTAGTCTTTTTTGGCTATAATAGAATTATTATGACTGAACCAGAATTTCTCCTCCTTTCAAGATTTAATGACCACAACAACATCAAAATACCACGCTAATGACAATATGGCCAGTTCTATACTAAGCGTACATTTGTTTAGTTTTTAAATATTCCTAAAAGGCATTTTCCATGAAAATCTATAAACTCAAGACTATACTTCTGAACACCATGCAACCTGACTAAATTGCAGCAAAAAGATATTTGTTGTTACAATATTATTGACTATATTCCCTATGCTGTATATCTCTGTGACTTAATGATTTTATAACTGGAAGGTTGTATCTCTTTTTTTTTTTTTTTAAAGATTTTATTTATTTATTTGAGACAGAGAAAATGAGAGAGAGAGAGAGAGCACATGAGAGGGGGGAGGGTCAGAGGGAGAAGCAGGCTCCCCGCCAAGCAGGGAGCCCGATGCGGGACTCGATCCAGGGACTCCAGGATCATGACCTGAGCCGAAGGCAGTCGTTTAACCAACTGAGCCACCCAGGCACCCTGGAAGGTTGTATCTCTTAATCCCCTTCACCAATTTCACCCCTCCCCCACCTGCCCCTCTGGCAACCACCAGTTGTTTCCCTGTATTTATGAGTGTTTATTTGTTTTGTTTTTTAGATTTCATATATAAGTAAAATCATATAGTATTTGTCTTTCTCTGTCTGACTTATCCCACTTAGCATAGTACCCTTTAGGACCATCCATGCTGCCGTGAATGGCAAGACTTCATTCTTTTTTTTTTATGGCTGAGTAATATTCCATTGTATGTATATACCACTCCTTTATTCATTCATCTATCAATGGACACTTGGGCTGCTATTGTGAATAATGCTGCAATAAATGTAGGGGTGCATGTATCTTCGAATCAGTGTCTTTGTTTTCCTTGGGTAAATACCCAGAAGTGGAATTACTGGATCATATGGTACTGCTATTTTCAGTTTTTCGAGGACCCTCCATACTGTTTTCCATAGTAGCTGGACCAAATACACTCCCCCAAAGAGTGCACGAGGGTTCCCTTTTCTCCGCATCCGCACCAACACTTGCTATTTCTTGTCATTCTGATACTAGCCATTCCGACTGCTGTGAGGTGCTATTTTTTTTTGTGGGTATGACTTGCATGGTGACAGATGGTGACTACACTTACTATGGTGAACACAGAGTAACGTACAGAATTGTTGAATTACTATGTTGTACACCTGAAAGTAACATTGTATGTCAACTATACTTCAATAATAAAAAAAACTTTCTTAATTAAAAAACTATATGACATTCTAGAAAAGGCAAAAACATAGAGACAGCAAAACGATCAGTGGTTTCCAAGGGTTCAGGGGGAGATAAGAGGGGCAGGGATGAATAGGTAGAGATGGGGCATTTTCAGGGCAGTAAAACTATTCTGTAGGATACTGCAATGGTGGATACATGTCATTATGCACTTGTTAAAGCCAGGAGAACTATACAACACAAAGAGTGAGCCTTAATGTAATCTAGAGACTTTAGTTAATAATAATATATCGGGCGCCTGGGTGGCTCAGATGGTTAAGCGTCTGCCTTCGGCTCAGGTCATGATCCTAGGGTCCTGGGATCGAGTCCCGCATCGGGCTCTCTGCTCCTTGGGAGCCTGCTTCTCCCTCTGCCTCTCTCTCTCTGTCTCTCATGAATAAATAAATAAAAATCTTAAAAAAAAAAATAATATATCAATGTTGGGGTGCCTGGGTGGCACAGTTGGTTAAGTGGCCAACTCTTGGTTTCAGCTCGGGTCGTGATCTCAGGGTCGTGAGAGTAAGCCCCGAGTCGGGCTCTGCACTCAGCGGGGAGTCTGCTTCAGATTCTCTCTCCCTCTCCCTCTGCCCCTCCCGCTTGTGCTCTCTCTCTAAAATAAATAAATCTTTAAAAAATAGTAATATATCAATGTTGGTTCATCAACTGAAATAAAAAGAATTTTAAAATACCTTTTTTAAAAATAATAATGCCAAAAGTTTCAAGATTTGCCAATTATTTGTAATGAAATATCAATAAGTATTTGCTGAATGAATGGGTTTCCATGAGCCACACGCTCTAAGTTACTGGGGACACTACTGTAGCTTACAAATGTCCTTTAAGTTAGCTAAAGGTAATAGGTTTGGGCTGATATTTATCGAAGTCTGAGGAGCAACAGTTTGCTTTTGAAAGGGAAAAAAAAAAAAAGACATAGGGTAAGAAGATCAGGATTTTAAAGAAATAGCTGGAAGAGAATTCAGGCAGTTACATCCCAAAAGCTGGGTGACCGCTGGTCAGCGTTTCCCCCAACCCAGCCCTCGGCAACCACGGGTCTACTCTCTCTAGATTTGCTATTCTGGACACTTTACGTTAAGTGGAATCACACAATATGTGGCCTTCTGTGTCTGGCTTCTTTCACTTAGCAGAGTGTCTTCAAGGGTCATCCGTGTCTCAACGTGGGTCAGTACTTCATTCCTCCTTACAGCTGAATAGTATGACACTGCACACACGCACATTTTGTTTATCATCTGGTGAGGGACATTTGGGTTGTTTCCACTTTGTGGCTATTGTGAATAATGCTGCTATGAAGATTCATGTCCAAGTTTTTTTGAACATATGTTTTCTTTTTTTTTTTTTTTTTAAGATTTTATTTATTTGCGAGAGAGAGAGAATGAGAGACAGAGAGCATGAGAGGGAGGAGGGTCAGAGGGAGAAGCAGACTCCCTGCCGAGCAGGGAGCCCGATGTGGGACTCGATCCCGGGACTCGAGGATCATGACCTGAGCCGAAGGCAGTCGCTTAACCAACTGAGCCACCCAGGCGCCCCAGAACATATGTTTTCATTTCCCTTGGATATATCCCTAGGAGAGGAAAATTGCTTGATCATAAGGTATCACAATGTTTAAACATTTGAGGAAGAGCCAGAATCTTTTCCAAAGTGAGATTTTTCTTTTAAAGTTCCACATTCACAGTTTCTAAAGATCAAATACTCAGATTACTTTAAAATGCTTCGTAGGTTTGTTTGCAATGTTCTCAACTGACGCCAGGTCTTTGGAGACTGGCTTGTACTTTTTAAAAATCCTCCACATCAATACTGTGCATAGATACTTAAGATTCAAGAGGAACAGGGGCGCCTGGGTGGCTCAGTCATTAAGTGGCTGCCTTCGGCTCAGGTCATGATCCCAGGGTCCTGGGACGAGCCCCACGTCAGGCTCCCTGCTCAGCGGGAAGCCTGCTTCTCCCTCTCCCACCCCCCCTGCTTGTGCTCCCTCTCTCACTGTGTCTCTTTCTGTCAAATAACTAAATAAAATCTTTTTAAAAAAACCCAAAAGATTCAAGAGGAACAGAAAAGAGGGAAAAAGTAACCCCTACAGAATTTAAATATATTAAAATTTGACACTGTCAACCTAAAATAATATAAAGATAAGATTGAGGTATGTTCACACTATAAATTTTGGTTCATGTACTCCATATTGCTGCCGAATTAAAATTTTACATAATATTTGACCTCGAAGTAAAAATTCTGATTATTTTATTAGACTTTTAGAATTAAACCACTATAAAGAATCACAGAGACATTAGAGTAACTATGACAAGATGAAACAACAAGGGACAAAGGACATGTTATTAAAAGGAAATAAATATTTTTTAAAACAGAGTTGATCGGTGTGTAAACAGACATTAAAGTAGGATTGATTTTAAATTCTAATAAAAGAAAATGAAACTTAGAATTATACTAAATTTACAAGTTTCTCCCTGGAGTAGAAGAAACCTCATCAAATATGTGCAAAGTCATCTTGTAAGGAGACAAGAAATCAAGACTCTCTCTTTGCTTTGGCTACACCACTAAACAATGCTACATCTCCACTTAGTGACACGATAGCACAAAGCCGACTGAGAACCTCCAAAGCCACTTTCCTTCAACCAACAAATACTGACATCTGAAAATGACGCTTTGTTAACCACATACAAAGCCAACACACCTCCACAAAACAACTGCCACAAGTATATAACACCTTTAAAGACGTTTAAACATCATTCTTCCATTCACTATAAAAGGAAAAGAACCCAGTCCCACTAAATGTCCTAGTTCCTCATGGCACTGGCTTGGCCAGGAGCGCGAGATTATAAGAGCATTATACAGAAAAAGTATTACATCAGTATAACATGTGCAAGATGACAGAGTCCAGAAAGAAGCAAGCAATTTGAAACACAAAGACACAGTATGGGTCCTAAAACCACATGTGAATAAGAATTTTTAAACCATACTCCTAATTATAGTGTATCAATGCTGTAATGAAGAACTGCATTATGGGGGCACCAGGCTGGCTCAGTCTGTAGAGCACTGGATGGCTGGAGCCAATGTTGGGGCATTGTGAAATGGAATAATCCTTCTATCCATGAGAAAGTTTTCAAGGTGCAGTCAGTTATACTGATGACAGATCTTCTTTTTGGTCAGACTGGGAACTAAGGCCTAGAGTGTTTTTCAAAGCTGGCTGTATGTAGAATTAATTACCAAGTTTAAAAAAAAAAAAAAAAAAGAGGGGCGCCTGGGTGGCTCAGTCGTTAAGCGTCTGCCTTCGGCTCAGGTCATGATCCCAGGATCCTGGGATCGAGCCCCGCATCGGGCTCCCGGCTCGGCGGGAAGCCTGCTTCTCTCTCTCCCACTCCCCCCTGCTTGTGTTCCCTCTCTCGCTGTCAATCTCTCTGTCAAATAAATAAATAAAATCTTAAAAAAAAACAGTTATAAAATGAACCCCTGGAAATTATGATACAGTAGGTCTATACTGAGGCCTAGGAATCCATCTTTTAAAAAACTAAGGGGCGCCTGGGTGGCTCTGTCGGTTAGGTGTCCAACTCTTGGTTTTGGCTC